ATCCCACCCATCTGGTCAATTGACCACTCTGGGCGGCTAACAACACTTAAAAATAAAACAATTAAAAATAACATCAAAAGTTAAAACAATTTAAATATAAAATTTGTCAGTTTCATTTTTCCCACATGCAGAGTTTTCAAAACTCAAGTTCTTTGTGCTCTGAATATGAAAAAAAAAATCATTAACTTGGGCAAATTCTCTCAAAAAAGGAATTGGAACAATATTTTTACCCATCACCACTGGCAAAATTCAACAGATGTAACTACGTACATCCAATGGGCAATATTACCCTTTCCTCTGTATAAGTGTTAAAGATGAAGAACTTTTCGGGGGGGCGGAACTAGAAACTCAAATCTAACACTAGATCTGCTAACACCACCAGAGAGTGGACGGTTCAAAGAGAGGATTGGCTTCTATAAAGAAGGGTGTGTGGTCACCTTAAATAAGCATTAAATATATATAGAGAAAAAATGATTTTGTACCCAAAGGCTATGTATGTCATCACAGACTCGATTGGTAGAATGGGATTTACCTCAGCGGCAGAAGTTAGAACATTTCTGAAATTAGGCCAGTATATCCCCCATAATAAATGAAAGCTGGAGGATTAATAGTAGAACTGTCTACCTAAAACCAGCCAGTCAGTGAAGCACAGAACTAAACAAAGGGGCACCCACTTCATGATTTGAATAGCCACCATCTAGAAACAAGGAAACAATGCGGAACCTCTTTTAATCAACTGGAAGAAGCATTCACTGCAGGGGTGGATGCTTCCAGGAGCCATAAGCATTTCTGGCAGGCTTGCCTTTCTTTTCAAGTCTTCATCTACACATGTGTGAGGCATGGATTTGGTAGGCTTCATTCAACAATGAAAAGAGCTGGCAGGGACAAATGAACCCTCCCAGTACCCATGTCTTGCTTAACTCCACTCCAGTCCATTGCTACAGATGCTCTCTTCCATTTTCAGACACATCTTGGGCCAGTCAATTTCTTTCCGCCAGACCAACCTCACAAGGTTGTTGTAAGGATAAAGGGTGGAGGAAAGCCACATTTGCCACCTTGAACTCATTGGAAGAAAGGGAGAAAATTAGTGTAACTAATGATATTACAATAGTAGTAGTAGTGATGATGATGATATCACCTATTTATTTGTTTGTTTGTTTGTTTCTTTGTTTGTTTGTTTGTTTGTTTGTTTGTGCTGCCTTCCTCCCCATAGGGGACCAAAAGAGTCTCACAACAGCTAAAACTATACAACAATCAAGAGTTTTAAAATACTATATAAATATTATATTAAAAAACGGCTCTTATATCAAGATTTTTAAAAAATAAAAATTATTTTAAAACATTTTAAAAACATTTAAAAATCTCTAAGTTTAATAAATAAAGCATTCCTGAGATATTGCTTAAAAGCCTGCATGAAAAGGAAGATCCTACGCATTATCTCCCTCTCATCCATTGATTCAGCCTTTATTTCCATTGCTGTCTCACTTAGCCAGAAGTGCAGAAAAGTTTCTAGAGCAGTTATCCATGATAAGGCAAGTTGTGGTGGAAGGAGATAGTTCAAAAGTGGTGTGACTCCGTGGTTAATGTTGGGCTGGAATTCTGAAAATCCAGATACTAGTCCCCATTCAATTGTGATACTCACTGGGTAGCCTATTTTGACAACCGGCTAACTTATTTTTGCTTCAGTTTTATACGATTGTTGTTACCCATGCAAAACTTAACAGAATGTTACAATATAAAAACAGAAGTACATAAATAAACAAGTGTTTAAGAAATATTTAAGGAATCGTTTGAGGAAGGTTAAGGAAGGTTGTTGTGAGTTTTTCAGGCTCTCAAGTGCTGTCCTCTGAAGATCCTGGCCACAGAGACTGGCAAAACGTTAGGAAGAACAACCTTCAGAACACGGCCAAAGAGCCCGAAAAACCCACAACAACCATTAGATCCCGGCCATGAAAGCCTTCGCGAATACAAGGTTAAGGAAACTCACCCCTTTTTTTTGTGTATGTGTTCTTTTGCTTTTCAGTATCCAGATGGTGCATCATCATACAATCCATGACAACACAGATGAACTGCGGCAAATGGCCAGTGGTCGAGATGTTCCACGGCCCCTCTCCACATTGCCTATGTTCAACGTTCGCACTGGCGAGAGGACAAATCCCATGCCAAGTGGCCGCTTTGACAGTGCTCAGGTGCCTCTCATCCTGGCTCAGCAGTGAACATTTCCCAGGTTTGTGCAATCGCTAAGCTGCATAAATATAGACCCAGAGCTTTAGAAAGTTACATATTTGGAGTATTAACTTCATCATCATCATCATCATTATCATTATCATTATCAAGGTCTGCACTAAAGTATAACAGTCGGAGGGAAGCGTTTCATTCCAATCCCCCCTTACCAGAACAAGCAAATTCCCAAAGAAGTGGCTATTTTGATGGCGAGACTCCATCAAAGGAAAACCTATTCATTCTATCTCGCTGGCTTCACCATCCAACTGCTCTTACTGTTACAAGGTTCTCCTTATGCTTAATTAAAATTAAGCCATATTGTTGTTATTCCATGCCTTCAAGTTGTCTCCAATTAATGGCCACCCTATGAATGAGCAATCCCCAAAATGTCCTGTCCTCAGCAGTTCTGCGCAGCTCTTGTAGACTCAAGGCTGTGGCCTCCTTTAGGGAGTCAATCTCATATTTGGCCTTCCTCTTTTCCTGCTGTCTCCCACCTTTTCTGGCATTATTGCCTTTTCAAAACAATCTTGCCTTCTCATGATATGCCCAAAGTGTCACAGCTTCAGTTTCAACATTTTTGCCTCCAGAGATAGTTCAGGCTTGATTTGATATCGGAGCCACTTGTTCGTCTTTCTGGCAGTCCAGGGTCTTTACTCTCCAGCTTTCACTCCCACACATAGTGATTGGGAATACAATAGCATGGATGGTCTTGGCTTTAACCTTGGTCTCCAGTGAAAAATCCTTATTAATCAATAAATTAATCTTGCTGTGTTTTAATTAAATCTGCTAGATCTTGTCATCTGAAGGAACAGATGACAGTTCATTTGGTCAGATGCAAAAGAGGACAGGGCCTTTAATATTGTTAATGTAAAGGAGGAGTCCCCTTTTGCTGAAATTCCTCTTTCTCTATAACGGTGAGGGAATTTCGGCACAGTTATTAAAGGTACAAGAGCCTTTTCATAGAATCATAGAATCACAGAGTTGGAAGAGACCACAGGGGCCATCAAGTCCAACCCCTTGCCATGCAGGAACTCCATCAAAGCACTCCCGACCGATGGCCATCCAGCCTCTGCTTAAAAACCTCCAAAGAATTCCAAGAGAGCGTGGTCACTCCCACCTAAGGATCCCATCACTTCAACCCCTTGAACAAGGTCAACCCTGTTGGTTAAGATCAGATCTAAAATAGCCGATCCCCTTGTTGCCTCTCCCACCTTCTGGACCATGAAATTGTCTGCAAGGCAAGTGAGGAACTTGCTGGACCTTATGTTCTTGGCAGAGTTTGACTGCCAACATATATTGGGATAGTTGAAATCTCATTACTAGTGCATCTCTCCCTTTTGAATGTGTGGCCATCTGCACCAGGAAGGCATCATCCAACTCCGCGGGCTGCATACGGCCACCTTAGCAACATTGCTTTGGATACCTGAAATTCTTGTAGACTGGGCCCTTAAGGGACCACATTTAGGCCTGCAGCCCTGGTGCACCCCGTCTTCCTGTTGTAATGGGCTTTAAGGAGAATAAACATCGCTGCCAATTGCACTCAGAAACAAAGCGACAGCCAGTGCAGCTGTTATAATAATAAGGTAACAAGATCACAATGCTGAGGAAACAGTACTCTCCACATGCCCAGGGGTACAAGTCTTTATTATCACATCAAGGCCGGGCCGTGAAAAACAGATTCAAGGAGTGAGACATTCATCAAATTATTTCTACAGTCTTTTTTAGAGCCAAGCCTACATGATGGAGTTAGCAATTACCGTATTTTTCTGTGTATAAAACTACACTTTTTCCTTAATTTGAGAAAAAATTGAGGGTCGTTTTATTACCGCTGCCTTTTGCGAAGGCACAGGGATTAGCAAAAAGGAAGGGGAGGTGTGGCTCCCTTCCTTTTTGCTAAGCTCCGTGCCTTCTCAAAAAGCAAGGAAGAGAGGCCATCACTTTGATAGCCGCTTTCCTTGCCTTTTGCCAAGACAGGGAGCTTAGCAAAAAGGGAGCCATTTGATCCCTGCTTTTTCTAATTTGGGGTTAGAAAATGGGGAGGGGTCGTCTTATACATTGGGTTTATTTATTTATTTTTATTTACAATATTTTTTAGCCGCACCATTGCCAGTGGCTTCTGGGGTTGTCTTATAAATGGAAAAATACGGTATTTCTTTCTCTTTTTTTTGCATGGCATAACTGAGTGGCAAACCTGAGAGCAGTGCCTCCAGGCTGATCATAGGCTTTGGGCAGAGTCATGTGGCTGTGGAGTGTCTTTCAAATAACCTAGTTTCAGAACTATGAAAGCTTAAGTACCAGCCATATATACTGAGCCTGGAAATGGAAGTCTAACCATTGCTACAAAAAATGGGTTTGTTATGAGATCCAGCCTGCAAATGTTGTACCTGTCAGGTGTTTTGAGCTGTCTTTAAATGCAAGTGATAAAGAAAGCATTCCAGTAGCATAATGTAGATTAACTTAATGAGTAGATTGATCTTCTCAGTGTTGTGTTCAGTAGTTTCCGGGGGGGGAGGGGAAAGAGAATGGTGGCCCCATCACATGATCTGTCCTCCCCCTTCCGTTTTCACTCCATCACTTTCATCATCATTATTGTTTTAGAACTGTAGAGTTGGAAGGGACCCTATCAGTCACTGAGTCCAGCCCCTGTCAAAGAGGCACAGTGAGGAATTAAATTCCCAACTTCTGGCTTTACAACCAGGTACTTAAACTACTGAGCTATCCAGCAGTTCAGATATGAGGCCCATGGTCCCTGACATGTTTTTCCACCCTTGTTAAGGAAAAAAAGGTGAATTATTACTTCTGGAAGTCTCCAAAAGTGTACGGATTTTTAAATGAAGTGTAGCCATCAACATCTTACTGATGCTGAAAAGCCCGTTTTGTTTCTATACCAGAAGTAGATTTCCGTCCATTTCTAGTTTTGTTTTCTCCTGTTTTTTTTTTTCATTGACCCATAGCTCCCTAAAGATTTCCCACCCCTGCTCTCATGCGTGATCTCATGGACCTAAAGTCCTGCTTCCAGAATTCAAACCCTGGGTTGTACACCACCAAAGTGTTTAGAAGGACATACTGTTTCTTAGAATTACTGGTCCCAGATCCTATGAAGGCCTTTATGTCTTTTGGAAACTGTGTGTTGTTTCTCTTGACAGCATCTTGTCATAATATTAAAAAAAATCTGCCAACAATTTTGGCAAAATTCTCCTTGCCCCCCCAAAAAAAGGGGGGGGGAGAGAGTCTCTTCTGTTCAATTGGAATCCTATTATAGTTTGGCCATAATAAAGCTGGTGTTCCCCCTTGAAATGAGCGGTCAGAAAAAAAATGTTGCTATCAGACTTTTTCTCCAATGTTTTTCTCTCTCCAACAGGTCATATTGGATTCTATTTGTGGAAAGATTCCTGTCAAATACATCTCTCAGTACAGACACAACTTTTTAAAGAGCTTGGAATGACGGATTTTGCTGTGTTGCTTCTTCTTCACTTTGATGACTTTGGTGATTAGGATTTAGCTGGGATGGTGATGGGAATGTGTTTCATTGCTATCAAATCTCCTTGAGTATATGAATGAAAAATGTCCTTTGATTATCATATGGCAAAATGGGGTAATAAAAGTTTGAATTTACTCTTCTGAATTGTTTTCTTCCACCAACCAAACTCTACAAAGACTATAAGACTGTGTTTTGAGATTTTTTCCATTTGTAGGAAATCTTATTTTTTTTCTTTTGTAAATTGTGCAATTGAACTACAATACCTGCTACCTTGTTGCATGGACTTTTAAAAACTAGAACCATTGAATGGGTTGCTTGTGTCTTTTTGATCAAACAGCCAGTCCTTTGGTCCCTGCTGTGTGTATGTGTTTGCATGTGTGCTGTGTTTCACAATTTCATGAACGGCAACAAACAAAGGCAGTCATTGACTCATGATTCAGCTGGAGTTGAGCCTACAAAGCACCACAAGAGTTCATTGTCTGATTTTGCTGCAGCAGAGCTTATCCTTTTGGAAGGTATTTTTCTTTTCAGGTGTCTCACTGGATTGTTATGATGGATTAGCACTCACTCAAAGCCTTCTGGCCACCATTCCAGGACTCATCTTTGGTTCCCAGTGCTACAGGGCAGCCGCAGGAGAAAAGGCAGAAGCTTCCCTTTTAAACTGCCCCCCTCTTGACAATGCCACCCACAATATCAAAGGCACCTTCACTTGTTCCTCAGCTAATGTGATCCACGCCATCTTTGGCCAACAATGCTCCTCTGCACTGTGCATAGGACAAAGAGAGCAAGCTCTACAGAAATGGGTCAATAATCACAAATCTGACATCAAAATACACAGAAGCCTGTCTCTAACCAATTCAGTTTACCAGGACACTCTGTAGAAGATTTGAAAGTTGCTATTAGAACACAATCATTACAAATCAAGAATATAGAAGGAAACAGCTGAGATAACATTTATATGCATGATGGACACCCATAAAAATGGATTGAATATAAGCCTAAATTTCTTAAGTCATTACCAAATGTTATGCTCTTATCTACTGCCACTGTTATTTTCTTCACGACTATTGGGCCCATCTCTCATCACAAGGCTCAAAGGTAAAAACTCAATATTTCCAACATTAATACACATGGTTCCTCTGCTATCTTCTTTCACTTTTATATTTACAGTGGAACCTCTACTTACAAACTTAATCCGTCCCAGAAGATGCTCGTTAGTTGAAACGTTCGTAAGTAGAAGCAAAATTTCCCATAGGAATGCACTGAAAACTGATTAATCCATTCTGGCTGTTTTTTGGTTCTTATGTAGAGGCGCCGTTTGTACGTTGAAGTATTAGTTCCCATAGGAACGAATGCAAAGCCGGTTAATCTGTCCTCTACCACTAGGGGGATGATTTTTCTTCTTTTGACATAAGATGAATTTAGGTCAAAAAAATGGCAGGAAAGGAGGGAGGGAAGGAGTTTTTAGGTAGGGAGGTGGTTTTCTTGGGTCTCTTGAGGGAGGGAGGAAAGAAGCCATGGGATTTGGATGAATGGATGTGGTTCGTTAAGGAGGGTACACAATTAGCGCTGTGGTCCATGGTAAATTCGGCACTGAAAAATTCTGTGGTGCCCCCTTCCTTGTTGATGCCTCAAGCATATGCTTATTTTGCTTAATGGTAAATCTGGGGCTGAGTCTACATATAGCTGGCTTCATAAATGTAAACAGCAAAGTATATAAGTATCACCCCCTTTCCTTCCTTTCACTGCTGGAAATCTTGAATGGCCGAATACCAAACATATTGCTTCCATCTCCTTTACCCCCCCCCCAAAAAAAGCCTCAACATCTCGGATCAATAGAAATGATACTGAACCTCTGATGCACAGATATATGAAAATTATGTGCTTCCTTTACTGTGTATTTGCCTTGCTTATCCTCTCCCAGCTGAATGCCAGCTACTGTAGAAGAGAAATCCTTTCTTGTATCAGCACATCTCCACATACCCTAATTTCTGTTCAGAAAGACTCAGCCTATTTCTATCACATGCCATTTTTGTTTGTGTTCATTTATAAATCCATGCACTGTGTCATACTACTGTTCAAATTTTCAAAAGAACGATCATTTATATTTCAATGCATATGTGAATTCACACTTTTACCCATAGTTTTTCTCACAAAATAATCATTTTGAAGCATATTTTATCTCAAAGTTCTGTATTTTATGAAAGGATACTTTCTTATGCATGTTTTGGTCCACTTCTGAGGTGAGAACTTAATTGCCATGTTCAAAGAAGCACAAAAGGTAAAGGACAGCTGCCCTGCTGGACATTAATTCAAGAGGTATAGATCTAAACCAGCCTTTATAAAAGAATTTGCAAAGAATGAATTCCTCAAGCATTTCTGATAACACTACCAGGATCATTACCTCCTTTTAATGGAAGTATTCAGGTCAGTGTATTGCTCCCACATTTTTCAGAACTCTCGATCTGCCAAAGTTTGTCTAAAAAAAACAATACCTTGTTACAATATTTTGTACTTTAAAGTTTGCTAGATGCCTATGAAACAGACAAATTTGCACACACTATTCCATCTCTCCCCAGCCTTTACCTCACACTGTCACATGCCTTCATAAAATACTTCCATCCTCACCCTGTACACCATATTATCTTGAGCAAACTGTAGATCCACCACACCAGAACGACAAAATGAGCTCAATGGTTATTACAACAGTGACAACAACAGCAAGATCAACAACCAACTGATTATCTTTGATCTCCTGTTTGCAGTGTGGGAAGGAATTCAAAACCATTTAAGATATAATCCATATAATGAATGTCGCATCACTGGTTGGAGTGGGATGTATTCCATTTGAAATAAGTTTATCCTCTTCCACTTCCTTGTTGTCTTTTCAGAAGTGATTTGCTTTCTTCCGTCTCAGTCTTGACAGAAGCAGTCCAAGTACGCTGCCTTATCTATCCATAACTGTTTGCCAGCTAACCATGGAGCAGACTATCCGTCAATGCAAAGCACAAAATCCAAGCCAAACCACCATGCTGCGGTCCTTGTTTCCACCTCAATGAGGTGTGAACTGTGCACAAAAGTCATCACTTTCAGTGACGTTGGGTCAGTACTGTAAAGCCATCGTTTCCCAATGTACGACAAACAATTCGTTTCAATCCAGCTGTTTTGCCAAAACAAAAACAAAAAGGTTTTGCAGATGTTCAGTATGCTTCAAGATGTACCTAGAAACGTTGGATCCTCCTTCTCCGATGGAAGCGAACACTGATTCCACCGAGGTGTGCGTGCCCTGGCTGTGTGAGTGCTTAATGACTAGCGCCCGTGACATCACCAGAACCACATTTCCTGCCCCCAAATCTCCTAAACAGTTGAGCAACTGTTTTTAATGTATTTCTGAAAAGGCAAAGGCTTCTTATGTACTTTGTACATGCGGTGTAAAGCTCTCTGAGCACTAAAATGAATGAAAGCACATTATGTGGCCCTTTAGAAAAGGCAAGGAGCGTATGGCTAGTCTCATTCCTTTTCTCCACGGCAAAGCAAAACGATTTCAAAACCACTTTCCTATTTCATAAAGCATTTTGTGTTTGAAAGAAATTAGCTCTTTCTCCTCGGACTGCAGACCATATATTGCTCATGTTTAGAAAGACCCACCCTGGAATCTAGCCCGTCTCCATTGACTGTATCCAGTTACTGCAGAAATGTTGGTGGGCGAGACTGCCATGTCAGAAAGAAAGGAGAGAGTACGGCTGCAGAAACCCAAATTGGTTATTCAGGCAGACACCGAGTTTTAGGCGCAACAGGATAAGAAACGTGCTGGTGTTACGGAGAGAGAAGCTGGATCAGAGGGCCTATTGCTTGCTAGGCACAAAAGCTTCATTGTAGGGGGCGAGGTGAAGCATAATGTGGGCTCTTTTTGCTGTTCCTCTTGTCCAAGAGTGTATCTTTGCAAAACGCTCCTCTGTGGGAAGCTGGAGGTGAACTGGAATGACGTCACTGATGGGCCTGACAGAATGATTCATGTGTAATAACAATTATGATTGCTGTTTATAACGTTTCCTCAGTTCTCTTAAAAAGCAAGAAACTCCAGCAGTAGCACTGCTTGGGCCCCCTGCCTTGGAAAAGGGAAACCACGGGTGACTTAAGGGCATTTTTGCAACATCTGGCTTGCAAAGATCCAAGGAGTGCATAGGTAGTAGCAAGAAGCATAAGCACTTTGTGTAGGTAGGCCTACTCTTTAACACACATCCCCAAGATTACTAACCATACTGCCAAGGATCCTTCAGTCCAAGCCCAAAGCTCTCCCTCTTTTTCTCTCTTTGTTTCAGCTGTTCATTCCACCTGTAGACCTAAAAGCCCAGCCTTAGAAGCAGGGTGGTGAGAGGAGGAGGAGGAGGAGACACTTTCTCCAAATGGCTCTTGGATACTACGGATGATCTGTACCCTACATAAAAAGAGCCCTGCTGGATCAGGCCAAGGGCCCATCTAGTCCAGCTCCCTGTATCTCACTGTGGCCCCACCAGATGCCTCTGGGAGGACAGGAGACAACTAGATACCTGTCTCCTGATATCCCTTCCCCTGCATCTGGCATTTGGAGGTACCTTCCTTTTAAGCCTGGAGATTATACATCTCCATCATCATGGCTTGTAACCTTTGATGGATTTTTTTCCTCCAGGAATCTGTCCAATCCCTTTTTAAAGGCATCTAGGCCAGATGCCATCACCACATCTGGTGGCAAAGAGTTCCACAGACTAACACTACGCTGTTCTCAGTCTCCCAACACTCAATTTGAATGGATGTCCCCTGGTTCTAGTATTGCCTGAGGGGGAAAAACAGCTTCCTTCTATCCACTCTCTTCTGCACCTTCCACCCTATAAAGGTTCCACCCTATAAAGAAGGCACCACTCCTCAAGAACCTGTCAGTCCTCAGGAGCCACGAATTCACATTTCCTCTAACCGGCCACCGTTCATAACATTGGGAATCAGAGCCTGGCATAGTTACTCCATGTCTTACAATCCTGAGGTCAGCAATGCCAGGGGCTATACTAGCTGTGGGAATGATGGGAGTTGAACTTCCGAAAAGTAACACTACAAAGCTCTGTCCAGGCATGCCAGCTTTCCCCTTGTTGGCGACCTAGGGTGGCTCAAAACCATGACAACCATACAATAATAATAAATTTTAAAACTGTAAAAAAAGGTAAAGGTAAAGGTTCTCTTTGACATTTTAAGTCCAGTCGTGTCCAACTCTAGGGGGCGGCGCTCATCCCGCTTTTCAAGCCATAGAGCCAGCGCCTGTCTGAAGACAGTTTCCGTTGTCATGTGGCCAGCGTGACTAGGAAATGCCGTTTTACCTTCCGACCGAGGTGGTCCCTATTTATCTACTCGCATTTGCATGCTTTCGAACCGCTAGGTTGGCGGGAGCTGGGACAAAGCGATGGGAGCTCACTCCGTCGCGTGGATTCACTCTTACGGCTGCTGGTCTTCTGACCCTGCACCACAGGCTTCTGCGGTTTAGAACACAGCGCCATCACGTCCCTATATATTAAAAGACAATTAAACTTTGATTGAGATTAAAAACACTTTCAAGAATATTAATTTTTTAAAAAACCCTCAAAATTTCATAGATGGCGCATTCTCCAGACCTCCACATATTGCATAGAAGCTTGCCTAAAAAGGAAGGTTTTTTCCCGATGACAGAAAGACAACAGGGAGGGAGCCAATGTGACTTCTCAGCGAAGCATTTCCCAAAGCCTGGAAGCAACCACTGAGAAGCCCTTCTTTCGTGTCCTTGCTAATCAAGCTTGGGAAGGTGGTGGAACAGAGAAGAAGGGACTTCCCCGAAATGTCTTAAAAGCTGAGAAGGCTCATGTGGGGTGATACAATCCTTCAAAACCTGAACCCAAGCCATATAGGGCTTTATGGGTGAAAACCAGCACTTTGAATTGACCTCGGAAACAGACTGTCAGCCAGGGAAGCTGTTGTAATAAGGAAGTTACATGTTCCCCTTTAGCAGTGCCAGTCAGCAGTCTGGCTGCCTCATTTTTGAACCAGCTGAAGTTTCTGAGCACTCTTAAAAGGCAGCCCTCTATCGAGGGAGTTGCAGTAATCCAGATGAGATGTACCTAAAGCATGTGTCGCCGTTATCAGACCAGGTATCTCAAGGAACAGGTGCAGCTGGGGCACCACCTTTAACTGCTCCTTCCTTCATCCAAGCCTGCATGTCCCTCCACTTTAAACTGAAAGTGCCTGAAGTTAATACTAAATAAAATTCTATTGTTGTACACTGTACAAATAAAACAAAAACCTGGCATTCTTTAAATTTCAATACAGTGGTGCCTCGCTAGACGATGATAATCCATTCCACTGAAATCGCTGTTTAGCAAAATCATTGTCTAGCGAAAAGCATTTCCCTATTGGAATGCATTTAAACCTGTTTAATGCGTTCCAATGGGGAAGAATCATTGTTGTCTAGTGAAGATCGGCCATAGGACAGCCGCTTTGCGATCCGCCGATCAGCTGTTTAAATCGCTGTCTTGCAAAGCTTAGGTCCCGAAAACGCCTGTTTCGCAAGCACGGCGGAAGCTGTCAAAATCATCGTCTAGCGAAAATCGGTTTGCGAAGCAGGGACCAAACATTGTCCAGCGAAATTCCCCCATAGGAATAACTGTTTTGCGAATTGTTATAGCAATCGCAAAAAGTCAATGTCTAGCGAAAAAACAGTCATGCGGGGTAACTGTCTAGCGAGGCACCACTGGATTTTTAATCCATCTTCCCAAATAAAGAGCTCACAATAAAGTGGAACAGGCCTCAACTGATCTGTCTGAGGGTCTGTCTATGCCTACAATAAAGCGGAACAGAAGATGAGGACTAGAGATGGGCACGAATGACTGGTTCAGTGGTTCGGTGTGGTTCGTTTCCCAGCTGAATAGCTGATCTGTGGTTTGGTGCCCTGCCCCCTCCAGTGGGTGCCTACTCGGCCTCAGTGTTCCGTGGCTCCTCCGGGCTCTGTTGCTGAGTGGCTGCCGCTGGAAAAGGTGGGACACTCAACTGCAGATCAGCTGTTTGTCCGGGAAATAAACTGGACCAAATCAGCATTTCGTGCCCATCTCTTTTGGGAACACAAGGTGAAATGAGGCTGAGGACTGAAAAAGAACAGGGAAAGGGGCTCAAGTAAGAACAGAAGGACAAAGATCCTGGTGCTAACGTTAGGGCCTTGGAGTTTTCCAGACAGGGATTCTTTGTTTCAAAAGATCCGAAAGAGCTTCCATCTATTGTCTTTTTAAAAGCTCACATTTTTCATAAGCAGCAGGAACAGCGCCCATGCTGTGCTACCCTCACCACCAGACTTATTTTAAGGGGGCAAAATATTTACACTCTCTCTTGCTTGCTCTCTCTCTCTCTCTCTGTGATGCCTCTGGTGTAAGTTTCCCATTTACAAAGCGCCCTTTGATGCAAAAAGAGCCCCTCTTTTTGCTCGCTCCTGAATGAGGGCCATTGAACGTTGCTGTCCAGCTTTCTTGGCACACGGCGAGATTATTCCAAGTTGACGATTCTCTCTCTCATATTTACTTTTCCCCCCTCTCCCTCCTTGCTTCCTGCTCAGAACACAAGGTGAAAGAAAGGGACAGAAAGCTCAAGTCCATTTTGCAAAGATTTGGGAAGAGGCACGAGCTGAAAGAGACAGGAGGAGGATGAAGTGGTGAGCAGGAGACACAGCGGGAAAACAGAAAAAGAGCAAAGATCTAGAGAAAAGGATGAAATTCACGGAAGGCAGGTCACTGGATTTTGCAGGTGAAGCCACTATGTATGCAAGTATCTATATCTATATCTATATCTATATCTATATGTAAGGAGACTGGAGCAGGAACAGAGCCCATTGGACCTTAAAAGGCTAACTAGTTCCTTATACTTTGAGCTGTTGTGAGCATGATCCCAGGGCTTAATATGAACCAGGACTCAGCTTGGCAAATCTGGCTTCAGTATCATGCGAATTTAGAGAAGTGCTTCTAAACATGTACAGAGTGCTGTCCCCTCATAATTTAGCAGTCATAGGCTCTTTTTCTGGATAGATTCTCTAGGCTTCCAAGACTAGTGATACTGCCTGTTAGTCTCAGTTATCTATCTATCTATCTATCTATCTATCTATCTATCTATCTATCTATCTATCTATCTATCTATCTATCTATCTATCATCTCCTTAAAAGAAAGGAAACTGAGCTCTTATTTCAACTGATGGGACAATGTGCTTTTGAGGTGTTTCTGCTTCTCCTTCTGCCCTGCTTCTTCCTCACCTCAAACTCTCTCTTCCTCCTGCCTTTTTGGGGGTTGAAAGAAAACCTGGAACATTTCATTCCTGTGTTAAATACTCCTCTCTTGAATATAACCTTGAACCAAGGGTAGGGGGAAAGAACAAGGAGGGTGTACTTTCTAAAAAAAGAATTCCTAGTCACTTTTCAAGGGGGAATATATATACTGTATAATCTGTACTCTCAGTACCTGAAGAGCACCTTTTTTCTTCAGATTTTGGTATGTTATAGTCCTGTATTAAGATGTTCCTTTATCCTCATTGTGGTGTATTGTGTGCCATTAAGCTGAATCCGACCCATGGTGACCTTTAGTAGGATTTTCAAGATAATGTGAGATAGGTAAGGAATAGCTGCGCAAGTCCAACTGCTCCATGTGTGGTTCCACGGCCAAGCAGGGATTTGACTTCTGAGGTCTTCTGAGCCTTCTTAATTCACCCCTCTGTCCACTACACCACACTGGCTCTCTTGATTTCATTACAGTCTACTAAGTAATCAAGTTGGATACGGGTGACTTATCTCGTTTGTTATTTTTTTCCTCTCAACCTTCCAGCTTTTTGAATGGATGGGGTGAAAAGAGGGATATCATGGCACACAAAAAATTACCAGTGAATCTGTGTGAGAGAAAATGGCAAAGATGCAATGAAATATTTGAAACGACCTTCTCCTCTCTTCACATTTAAACTCGTTGAATGGAGCAAGGGGCCCTGCTGTAGCAGGAGTTTGATGGCAGCTTGAGACACAGAAACCAAGCAAGTGGCACTTCTCTTGGCAGGGCAGTAAAAAAAAGTGATGACAGAAGCTGTACCTATTGAATAGCTTGTTTGCTTTGCATTAAAATGAGCAAGGCCAGTACTATGTTGCTAATGCCATGGGGTAGCCCTGTGGGGTTACAGGGAGGAAGGTTGACCAGTTCTAGAAAATCTGGAGCAAGGAGTAAAAGGAAATGTCAAGCATGTAAAGAGAGAATAAGAGTAAGACAGAGAGGGCCATGCAAAGTATTAGAAGAATTAAGCAAAGGAACAATAACAAAACACACACAGAGACACAAAACCTCTAGAGGGTCATTCTTGGACCCTCTACTTTTGTCTAGGGCAGCAATGGAGAACATGTGGTCCTCTAGGTGTTGGACTACAACTCCCATCCTCCCCACACTATCAGCTACACTGATTAGAGCTGCTGGGAGTCACAGTCCAACAACATCTGGAGCCCACATGTGTCCCACCCCTGGTTGAGTGCTGGTCTAGAATGCACATGTAAACCAAGGTTGGTCCCTGCTTCCACTGAGAAACCTAGGGAGGAAGCACAAAAGATCTCTCACAAGATTTCTCACACCCTCACAAAACTTCAGCTCTTGAGTTCCTGGGGGGAACTTCATGTGAATTTTAAAAAAGAATCATTAATATTCTTCAAAATGGTTTCTTCCCACTGAGAATGTTGAAGCGTCAAGAGAGTCTAGGAAGCATCTCACCCAGATTAGCCTCCCACACACAACCGAAACCCCAACCAGCACCTGGCCTTGCATGACAGAAAAAGTCTGAAGAACAACTGGTGTATTTGGATCATTTCACATGCTTTATTTCAGCAGTCAAAATAATTAAAAACATCTCAAATTATTATACATATACAAAATAGGTACAGAATCTTCGGTCGCTCACACTCCCTAGAACATCTGCCTCTTGTTAAGGAATTGGGTTTGCTTGAATGGGAAACCCACCGAAAGACATGTGGAGAGGGGGAAAGAGAACAGAATTAAAGTCGGTGGGGAGGATGGGAGAGTGGAAGAGAAGAGGGAAACGAGAGGGAAGGATGGATGTGTCAGCAGCAAATGAGGATTATGAGAGAACAAGAGAGGCTTGGCACAGGAATTTGCTTTTGCAGGGTGGAAAGAGAGATGGAAAAGCACAGCAGGATGGCAGTGGAGAAGAGCCGGATGAATGGGAGAAACACAAGCCAATGGGGGATTCCACCTGCTTTACAAGAGAAAGACAGAAACTGCTCAGACCTTGATCCCTTGTAGCAATGTTTGATTTTTTTCCCTCATCCTGGAAATTTTTTTTTTTGCTTGTTTAAAAAAAAAATAGCACCTTTTGAAAATTCACAAGCATCTAATGGGCAGCAAGGCACCAAATTGGCTTCTCTCTCAAATAACCTCATTCCTATAGCACCAGATGGTCCCTGTTAGCAACACATTAGGTGGGGGTGAGGTTTAAAAAAAAAAAGGATTTCACCACCTTAATAAAGAATGCCATGGGACCTGAAATTAACATAGCAGACTAAAAATTAAAAAAAACCCAAAATACACAGTTAGCACCTTTATCTAAACTTGAAACTCTGTTCTGCTGTCCCCCATCAACTGAAACCTGGTGGCTAGCCTTTTAAAACCCCCAAAACTACCCCAAAGAACTTGAAAATGACAATGGTGAGGTAGCCGTCCATACAACAATAATATACATTTAACATTACATTTTCTCTGCTTTCTTGTATTATTATTGGCCATTTTTTTCCTTCAGATGTTCGCCGACAAAATACCGATAGCTCTTAAAGCCTCTCCAATTAGCTTAAAAATAAACTTCTGCTCTTTTCTAAGAGAGAGAAAGAGAGGCATTATACAAATGTTCTTTTTATCCAATGAGGTTCCTGTTTGGAAAATCACTCAGTGGTACACTTTTATTTACTGAGGCTTTGTCGAATTTATATCGCCGACTGAACAAAAGAAGAAGAAAAAGGTACATTTCAAATGACTGAAAGAATAATCGTTTCAGTGGTATTGCTCTGTGTAAAAAAAGAAAGAAAGAAAGAAAAGAAAAGAAAAATCTTTCTGTATAAAGTTGTCAGCAGAGAAATATGGCCTGTAGGTAAATTTTGGGATTTTTAAACAAACTAACTCCAGGTTAAGTGTGGGGAAATTATTATTTTGTAAAGGGCAGGTTCTACCACTAGTTTAGCATTACTTTTGTGGGACTAACAGATTTTCCAAACCTTGTTGTTAAAGTATTTCAAGTGTTGCATGCTTTGGACTCATTTCATCATTTTTATGGCTTTAATATATGTATTTTTGGAATGTGCAAATAGTGGTCCCGAGCTATTACTTGATCTTTAAAAAAAACACAAGGTAAAATCAAACCATTCTGTCTTCAGGGGGTGTTAATAATAAAAAAAGTCAAGCAAGTGGATGCACTTCCTTAATTATTTTTGAAAAGTCATTTATTTTTATTTTTTTGGTTTAATGCTTTTTTTGTTTTTTTTTAAACGGAAACGAAAATAGTTTTAGAGATGATGGATAGAAAAAGACACAAATTCAAGTCCATGTGAAATTTCCTTCTTTTTTGGCTGTTTTTTATTTTATTTTTTAAACTGTCAGGTTTCCTTTGGGGTTTACAAGTAGCAGACAGGTCCAATCTCAAGGCCGAATTCCTGGTCTGGGGCACCAACGTCCATGGGAGCCACATCAATGAAAGGCAACCGGGAGGTCTTTGTCGTCTTGTATTCGATGACTGTCTTTCCCCAACTACCAGTGTGACTCTGCGGGTGGAGGGAAAACAGAAAGGAATTAGAATCTGGTGTACGTTTGATTGAGTTTTGAGGTCAGAGCACACATGAAGGCAAAAGCATATTTCCTTTTCTTGGTACCAGGCAACAAAAATATTTCAGTATCGGGCCCTGAGCCATCGGACATACTAACAAAACCCTACACTCTTCCAACAAACCAGTTACACCCCTCACCCACCCACACATAAAAAGAAGTTAATATGCCAAATCTGGACTGAGGCAAACTCCAGTATTTTCTTCTCAAGGGTAGGCTGCCTCTAGATATGGAAACTACATATTTCTAGGGGAAATCTTCAGAACTGCAAGATTTCTATCCTTCATCTTGATCCAGATGGCAGAAGTAATTAGAAGATTGAACAGATGCTACTACGTCAAGGGACACAGTGCTTAGGAGGGATATGAAGAACTATTATTGAATAAGTCAAGCATATCTTGCGCTGCTTAAGGATGCTTCCCCATGACACCCCAGGCTTCACTGCATACCAGCATCCTTCCTACCTGCTTGTTTTCTTGCATAGATTGTGTTATCTGGGTGATCTGCCTGTTGCAACCCTGACTTGCTTAACTCTTTTTTCCTAGCTTCTGGTTGATTCTCATGCACCTATTGCCTTGTCCATTCTTGGAATTAATCCCACTTCCAGAGCATAAACCAAGCAGCAGGTACACAGGGGAAAAGGAGGACCTTTGCCCCAGTTATTGGAATATAATCTACAGAAGGACTCCTGTTAAAAGCTGCCTCTTCAGTTCAAAGGCCCAAGGACTCACCGTGCAACCGTCTTCAGTGGCTCCATAAGTGAAGCGACTGTTGCCCTCTGATCTGATCTCAATCTCATTGGAGCCCTGGAGGATCAGAGACTTCTTCAGATTGCCAGTCTGTTGATCCATGTAAGCCACGCTGTTCTTGCAGTGGTAGGTGATGTTCTGGGAGGCTTCAGTGGACATCAAGCGCAAGAAGGTCAGCTGGATGGCAACATCAGCTGCGTTGGATCCCTCACCACCATATTCGAACTGCCAAGGAAACAGAAGAAAGGAAAAGAAGAAGAAAAGGTTACCATTTATGCCAGTTTTAGAAGATATGCCCCTTTCAAATCCAGACATCTAGCTACTTTTCTGTCTTTCATTCTCAGAGTCCAGGCAATAACATGAGAAAGAGCTGGTTCATGAGCAAAGGCAAACAAACCCTCCTTAAGGAACCAAAGCCAGTCTAGAAACCCAAGAGATGCAACTTATGGACCTTCAACATCCCTTGAAGGGCTCATGGCCCTTCTCAATTACATCACCTGCAGCTGTTTTGAAGTAAGGTGCTATGGAATGCCAAGCTGCCTTTTGGCAATAGAGATTACTTTGGTATTGACCTATGAGCCAGACTGAAACTCTAGAATTTTATTATCTAAAAGTTATCCTATTTTCTTCACTGTATAGGATCTCAGAGTTGTAAGTACAACATCCAACTTCCTGCAAGCGGCATGAATTCAGTTCAAGACTTCTTGGCCAACAGAAATCCCTTTTCCCTTCCTTTCCCACCTACTGTTACAGACATCTTTGGGTATAGGGCTGGAAAATGATCCTAATGTTCATCTAAGTACTGCTTCTGTATCAACAGATCTGCCAAAACATCTCTTCAAGATTGCTGGCAGTAAAAAAAATTATAGCCTTAGTGGGCAACCAGTTCCAGGATTCCTCTCCCACTACTCTTTTTCCTAACTATTTCTCATTACAGTTCAAACAAATTCTTTCCTGCACTGCCCATAGACGATATGGGTATTCCTCTTTCTCCCTGAAGATAGTTTGACTCTTATGTTGTTAAATCTGCCATTATGTACTCAGCCTCTTCTTCATCACGACAAACAACCCCAGATCCTTTATGTAAACAAACGAGCATTTACTAGGGTTTTTTTTTTGTTTTTTTTTTTTTTTTTGCATCTGGATTATTTCAGAAAATGATCCTGAAGGAATTCATGTCAGTCCCAGCCCATGACTGATCTGAGTTGCAACAAGCCTGTTCATCTAATAACTCTCTCAGATTCTCTGCTAAAAGAACATGTTTGATAGACCCGGAAAAACCTTTCTTGTCTGAGTTGCTTAACCACTCCTGCCTCACTGTTTCGTAGTCTCACCTGGAAGCCGTCGCTCATTGCCTCGCCAAACCAGACATGTTTCTTCTCCTTGGGGTTCTTGCTGATGTACCAGTTCTTCTTGGGGATTGTGGGATGAGTTGGGTAGACACAGGACTCTCCAGTCTCCATGTTACAGTAGACCTTGATGGCATCCAGGTTGCAGCCTTGGTTGGGGTCAATCCAGTACTCACCTGATAAGGGAAGTTGAGTGAGTGAGAATGAATCACACAAGATTATTTCAACCTGTGCTATTCAAAAAAAGAGGGACAGACAAGACCTCCCTGCTCTTTAGTCTCTGATATAGTCCTCCGTACTAGGACTCTTTAGATACTGTCAGTGTGTATCTTCCCAGGCTAGGAAAACAGTCTCCTTAAACCTCAATAAATGTAAAGAAAACCAGGCTGGCAGCTTAAGGTCAAGTGAATTAAACCAAAAAGTAGTGAAAAGAAGCACATGTGTATTGTTTGTGTCCATGACAGATTTTTTAGACCAAGGGGGAGAGAATACGTGGCTGCTCCATTACCTTACATGTTAAAACAAAGACATTGTTTTGCTGGACAATGAGAAGAGACAACGTCCAGAAGAGGTAGTCCTCTCCAATTATTTTGGAAGTGCTGTCTCCCTCTTTGAGAAAGCCTTGGGCAAATGGAAGCCATACTCTGCAGAAAGAGACCCATCTTCTAGAATTAATATTCAGTATGACACAGGCGGTTCTTGGTAAGGGACAGTCTGCTGAATCATTGGGCAATCTGATGAGAAATTCATTCCTAGCTTATAAATAACTTCAGCTAAAAGCTATGACTGGTTGTGCAAATAAGGCATGAGAGAAAGGTCTACCATAGAAGAGAAGTGAGGTGAGAGGAAAGAAAAGAATTGTGGTTTTGTAAAGCAAAATTGGTTCAGAAGCAGAGAGAAATCATAGTTTCGAGAGAGGCATTTTGGAATGAGAGGAAAGAAAAGAATTGTGGTTTGGTTCAGAAGCAGAGAAAAATCATAGTTTCGAGAGAGGCATTTTGGAAAGTCAGATTTAGCAACTCACCACTCTTCCAGTCTCCATGGCACATCTTCAGGTCACGGCAAGTGCGGGCTGGGTTCTTACGGGTTCCCTCTGGGCTACGGATGTTCTCAATCTGCATGGACAGGCTCTTGAGGGTAGTATCAACTTCCAGGTCACGGTCGCGCATCACATTGGCATCATCAGCTCTGTAGAAGCGGCCATCATGAGCTTTCTCCTGAGGAGGCTGGGGCAGGAAGCTGAAGTCAAAGCCACCGCTAGGTGGGCCTGGGGGACCAGGTGGGCCAGGAGGTCCAGGAGGACCCTGGAGGAAGAAGAAGAAGAAGCAGAGTTGGAGACAAAGCTTTCTTTTACCCAGTGAATTCTGATTGTGAGATTTCTGCACTTCGAAAAGCAGAGTTGGAGGCAAAGGTTTCTTTTACCCAGTGCATTCTGATTGTGAGATTTCTGCACTTCGAAGAGATACGTACAGCAGGGCCAACATCACCAGTACGACCACGGGGACCAGGTGGGCCGATGGGACCAGGAAGACCATTCAGACCATCTTTGCCAGGGGCACCAGCAGAACCAGGAGGACCCTGTCAGGAACAAAGGAGACAAATGCATTGTCAGCAAACCTTTGGCATGAGAGAACGGGGAGAGGAATCATCCAGAGAAGCATTCATGCTTAGATGGACCTCTCCCTGTCCCATGTCTTTATGCATAGGATCTCAAGAATTCTCTCTTCCTCCTCCCTAATCTGAGTGTTGATGATGAACTACTATGACACTTGCAGCCTCTTACAACAACTTCCTGTTGGGTCACGTCTGCAGGGACATTTTTGGGGAACCCAACAATTAAACTGATCCATCATGGTAACAGGTGGAGTCTTGCTTCAGCACAAGTGACATGTGGAAGTGTTATGCCTTATCCCTCTGCTGCCAGCTATCTTATATTTTAGTCACTGCTTTCTAAGAGGGAGAGGACCAAACCCATCCCCATATACTTGGCTGTCAATAAGTTCTACTGGAATAGTGTAATGGTATAACAGCATCACTCTTGAATCAAATGTTCAGGAAGATTTTGGAATTTTGTTACATACTGGAGCGCCTTCCAAATCTACATCCACAATGAATGGATTTGTTTTCTGTCTAAATGTCTAATGTTGCTTGAAAAGGCTATGTTTTTTTTTACAGCAAGTTTACTCAAAACTAACTCCTGTTGTGTTCAGCGGGGATCTTTCTTACACATGTTTGCACTGGATCACAGCAATCTCAGTTATTCAGAAGACTGTGCTATGAATTAAGTGTTCAGCATATTCACAATATAATCAAGAGCTTGCTCAACCTCACTCTTTGTTTGATAATTTCACACATGATTTCGCACTTTCCCCAGGATTCACATATTTACCCCAATCTGTTCCAATGTTCTCATTAATGTCATAAAACAACTTTACTTACTCTTGGACCAGCAGGGCCAGAAGCACCAGAAGGACCTTGTTCACCAGGAGAACCCTACACAAACAGACAAAAAGGAAACATCAATCCAATCCAGTCCTAATGATCTTGAACAAACTAGGCTTGCTTACATGGGAGAAAACTGCAGTTGTTAACAGTGAAGTACCAATAGTGCTCTTTGAAGGGTGATGATAATATGTTGAGCTTTGTGGCTCACAGTAATGAACAAAGTTTGAGGAAAATATACCGAAAACTAAAGGAATTGGGGAAACAATGAAGTGTAAATATTCACCATGATCATTATTTAATTGGTATGGTTACTCATCTGGGATACAATTCAGAATAAAACCTGGCTAAGTGGTGAGGGCAACAAGAAATAAAGATGGCTTGAAGACTTTTCAGGAACCTGTAACCATGCAGGTCACGTAGACATTCCACCTACTTTTTGCTATTACTTCCCCACCTCCTCTGTCCTGACCAGATTTCATTCAAAGGACATCAAAGGTGGCATTTCCTTGGCTAAGCCATGGTAGGCTTTTGTTTATTAAAAATGTTCCTTACATAAGAAATGGCTTGAGGACCAGATTAAAATCCATCTGTTTTTATCAGTGACAAGATGCCTCTGGGGAGATCACAAGTGGGGCAGGGTAGAAGAGGAGAGCTATCTGCTCTTGGATTCTACTGAGAGGCACCTTTTCCCCTCCTCATGGAACTTTCCATTCCATCAGCTGTCTTTGTTGTGGATTGACTCAAGTGTGTCTCATCCTTTCAAGATGCCATCCGACAGTGCAAACTCTCTGAATGTCTATTCAGGAACAATCTTCAGCAAAGCCCAGTACACTTATTTCCAGGTAAGTACTTACAGGATTACACCTGAAGCCATGGAAAAGGCAACACATTTTAAGAATGTTGCTCACTGAACCAGGATGAAAGCTTTAAACTGTAGGAGTGGCATGAGCTAGCTTATCGCTGGCCTATATATCCATTGCCAATGGAAAGAGACACACTTCCATTCCACAGTCCTTAAAACAGCCTAACAGTGTCACACACAGAGGTTAGCTACCTAGGCTAAGTGCAGCTCTGGGGATTCTGTGACAGGTGGGCCTGCTCCGTGTCAAGAGGACAGCAGCATCTCAGTACTTACAGGGGGACCAGGAGGACCCTGGAGGCCAGAGAAACCTCTGTGACCCTTCATGCCTCTGTCACCTTGTTCACCGGTCTCACCCTTGTCACCACGTGGACCTTGTGGACCCTGGAAATAAAAGAAAAGATAAAGAGATCAGTCTCATGATGAGCTTCCATAGATGAAAAACAAAAGAGGCAACATTTTCAGAAGCTGCAAATATAAATTCGGACTATGATTTGGACTATGAGTGATTAATTGATTGTATTTATACCTGGCCTATCTAGTCAAATGACCACTCTAGGCAGCTAAAGTAATATAAAGTAATATTTATTTTCAGTTGCCTTTAAAACAGGAGGTAAAGATAACACAGATATGCAGACAGTACAGTAAATGTCTGACTATATCTGGCCAGCTGTTGTGCAAAAGCAGCCAATTTTGGGGTGGTGGTGGAATCCAATTGCAACAATCATAGCAAAATTTACAATATATAATATTTTCCTTTTTTAAAAAAGGGGAAGAAAAATCATAAATATCCAACTTACAGCAGCACCACGAGCACCAGCAGGGCCAGCGGGACCAGCAGGGCCAGCGGGACCCTAAAAGGGAAGAGAAGGAGAAAATATGCATATCATTAGATTAACATCTTTAATGGAATTGGGCATGCAGTCCATTTCTTTAGGAACTCCACCCTCATAAGGGAGTGTTTCCTGATGGTTGCAGCACAAAGATCTTGGAGCAGGTGTTTTATTTAAATTAGGAGAACCAAAATGTCTTCATGATAAGGCAATGCCCTTGGTTTCTCTTCTGCTCCCATAACTATGAGACAGCTGATCAGTAGGGATAAAGTTATATCAGTGAGAAGAGTGTATGTAGCAAATCTTTTTCTATACTATTTTGAACATAGGCATCCAGTCAGTATCTTGATAGTGAAACTGCTGAGAGACTCCTTTTGATGCCCATATGTACATAGTCTTGAGTTCCATGGAAGAAAGGTGGAAATAACAAATATCCATGGAATTACTTATTATTAAAATGTCTAGTGAGATTTTCAGATTCTGTAGTGGGATTCAAGCAGAGAATGTGATCCTTGTTGTCTATCACCCTTGCTTGGGAAATGAAAATTTAAACATACTAAGATAGCTGATCTCTTTAAGACTCTGGATGAACTGCAATAAAAGTGGCAAAAGCAGAATATATTTCTCCCTGATGGCCTTTACAATATTTTCATATAATTGAAGAGAGTGGGTGTGGAATCACAGCTATATGTCACTCAAAATTAATCAAAGCAAAATGAAAGGGCAGTACTTTGATGAACACGATCCCAGAAAAGATGGGGTATATTTTCTGAATTATTTAAGTAACAAAGTATGGACTTAAATATATGCTGTTGGCAATTTTGAAATACCAAGGTAAGTGTGAGTGGTGGATGCAGACAGCAGTATTCCCACCTCCTCTAAGAATTCTTTCTGAATCTTTAATGAACATGGAAAGCTATAGCACCTATTGTTAACTGATCAAGAGTAACACGATTTTGGATATGTGGCGTAGGAGAAATTGGGAAAAAAAAAAACAAGAATAAGGGACTTCAAGATCCTGGAAAGAGCTTCTTGCTATAGATTTCATGTTACAGGAGGACAAAGGGAAGGCACCACTTACTGTCTCGCCACGATCTCCATTCTTGCCAGCGGGTCCCATAGGGCCGGGGGCACCAGGGGCACCAGGAGCGCCAGGAGGACCAGCAGGGCCAGTCTCGCCACGATCACCCTATTTGGGAACGAAAAGGGAGAAGATCAAATCTCTGAATCAATATAGGGAATCTGCTGAAATGAAACCAGAGACTTCCTGCTATCACTTCACACATAACTTACCTTAGGACCAGCGGGACCATCACGTCCAGGAGCACCTTCTGCACCAGGAGAACCCTGTGGGCCAAAAAGAAAGGAAGAGAGTGATTGAGAGGAAGAGGAAAAACTGCAGCAGGTTGCAGCTATAAACGACTTCCTAGATACTGGGTGTGGAGGACTCAGAAGGAAACAGGCAGGTAAAAATTCCAAACCCTCCAAGTGGAACACATTATTAAAATTGCATCTTTATATTTCACTAGGATTTTATGAATATATGAAGTTGCCTTATTCTGTTAAACCGTTGGTCTGCCCCACTCAATATTGTTTAGCAGGCAACCTGTCTCCAATGCCTCAGGTAGAAGTCTTTCTCATATCTTTTGAGCAGAACAGGCCAAGAAGTGGACCTGAACTGTGCACCCTGTCACTCAGAGATTCCTTCAAACAAGCTGGGTTGATCTTATTCAGCCTGTTACTGACTGGTACTCTTGACTGGCTGATGCTCCCTGAGTTACAAATTATCCTGGACTCTGCTGCCTAAGGCTTTTTTAACTGGAGACATCAAGGAATAAATTCAACAGACCATCTCTGCAGAACCTGTGTTCTATTACTAAGCTATGCCCCTTCCCTAATTGTAGTGTTCAATTGAATTACATTTTGTGAGTAATAATAATGGTAGCCGAATCTTACAGGACTGGAGTTCCACAGAGGAAAGAGAAAGGTGGCCATCTTGAGGGATATGAAGCCGCTTTGCAAATACAAAGACTTACCTCACGTCCAGCTTCACCAGGGGGTCCAGCCAAGCCAGGGGGTCCCATTGGGCCAGGAGGTCCACGTTCGCCAGATGCGCCAGATGGGCCTTGTTTGCCAGGCTCGCCCTGTGGATATCAAGAAAAGAATCCAGTAATTGAGACTGAGAAGGAAGAAACAGAGAGGAAGGACATTGCTTCCATCCACACCATTCATGAGCTTCAATCATCATTGCTCCAACAAGAGAAAGAAGCAACCTAAGCCAAGCAGAGCTTGAATTGAACTAGGAGAAGAGCAAGGTGAATTCAAAGTCTGAAGCAGATGATGAGGATATTGCCACCTAAGGCATTGCTCCTCCTTGCCAGATGAAGCCAAGGTGGAAAGTGCCCAAGACCTGAAAGGTTATTTGGAGCACTTGAAGCAAATAAATAAATAAAAAATCCCGCAGCCTACAATTCTTTGATTGTAAAAGTGCAGTAACAATGAAATAATAACAATTTTCTGCCCGTTCATGACATCTAAAATCAGGTGCCTAAGGAGGCTGTATCACACAATGAGAGTCTCACTGGAGATGAATCTGAGGAGTTAGAGGCATATATTTCATGGGATTCTATATCCCTTGAATTTGTAATTCTACCACAGATTTTATTTTATTATGAACTTTCTTAACTGAATGGATAAACGCCACCACACCTTTCGCTATATCCTGTCTCTGGGTGGGCTGATGTTTAATATGACCCACAGGCATCTCTAGAGATGAAAGAGGAATGTTCTGAGTTCCGATAATTTACAAAACTTTCATGTGGATCTTAAAGGCCTGTCTCTTTGGGGTTCAGAATATGTTGAAGAGAAAGGAAAGACTGGGGAATGAATTTCATCTTCATTTCCCAGCACTTTGGCCCAGAAATGGCAACCTTTGGATTGGCTCCAAAGTGTGGAGAGATGTGTCTCAGCAGACTAAAAATAAAAAAAGCAACGGCACTTCACTGTAGGTGCCATGTGGAAGACATTTGCTCCTTAATTTACTCAGGATAATGTAACTTCCTAATCTTCTTTTCAGATCCAGAGTGGCAAGAAACAACATACAAATAGGAAACAAAAGTGATTTCTGGATCAATGCAAATTTATACTAGGGGATTCTCAGCCCAACAAGGTCCATCGTTACTGGACATTGTAAGCATGAATGGAAACACTAGACAGCAGCACAGGATGGGAAGATGTCTCAGGTTAACATTTGAACTACAAACCTATCCATTTGTTCTTGGAAATGTACCACTTAAGACAACAAAGGTGTTCATATAAATGTCTTCTCATATTTCCTCTTGTTCTTTGAGCCTCTTATTCTAGGGATTCATGTTGGGTCACTGGACTCGGAAGACTTTTATCCTAGCCAGACCCTGAAATCCTGTTTTGTTCATGGCTTTGTATTTACAGTCATGCGTGTAGCTCAGCCTTCTTAAGAAATGTTCTCCCAACTTAACGAATATATTTCCTTGCTGTTCCTCAAGCAAAAGCTAGCCTGGATATAACTGAATTGAGATTATCTTTTCAGAAGTGACAAAAAAACCCCCACAAAGGCAAATACTCACAGATGGTCCTGGAAGACCAGGGAAACCTCTCTCGCCTCTTTGTCCGGGAAGACCAACTACACCACGTTGTCCGGCAATACCTTGTGGGCCAGGTGTACCAGGTGCACCCTGCCGAAGGAAGCACAAGAAACCTCATGTGAAAGGCCATAAAAGAACTCTGTCATAGGAATGGATTTCATTTACATCAGCAAATATACTATCCCATGAAAGGAGTGGTGGTCAAGAGCTAGGCCTCAGCAACATACAGTGAAGGACACCCCTGTGGACCCGAAAAGCTTATGTGAAGGAAAATTGATGGATTTCCTTACTCCTTGGTGAGCAGTCTCTACCCTTTCTGGGTGTTTCAACTCGTGTCTTGCCTAAAAGAAACCCATGTTCTCTTGTCTCCTGAATGGCTGAAAGCCGGACTTTTCATCGGACAAGAGATGATGCATGATATCACTACCATGCATGCAAAGGACTTGGGGACCCATTTTCACCAGTGGAGCATTTTCCGCCAACAGCAATAAACAAGTGAATATGGATCATGAGGTTCCTCAGAAAAGAAACCATATATTTTAATGTTAACAAAAACAACTATGAAGGTATGCCTATTTAATCTATTTAAGCCAGTGGATGCATTGTCTCCTAGGAACTGGGGTGGTCTTAATGATTTGGACAGACTGCGGTCGTGAGTACTAAGGGATGCTACAGCTTTCTGACAAGACTCACAATTCTATCATCACAAGTGAAGGAGGACATTTTAAAAGCAGTTTAAGCAAGTTAATAGCACTGAATTGGAGTTGCCTATAGGGAGTTCCTACTACTTGTGATAGGGAAACTGTATGTGGAGGCACCCAGTGTAGGTCAAGATACGTAATAAAGAGAAGTGAATTGAAAGCACATGCGTTCACTTACAGCAGGTCCATCGCTACCGGGAGATCCCTTCTCACCAGGAGGTCCAGGTGGGCCGGCGGGGCCAGCTTCGCCAGGACGGCCAGCGGGTCCAGTCTCACCACGGGGTCCTTTGGCACCTTCCTTTCCAACGGGGCCTGGTGGGCCAGGAAGACCGATGTTTCCCTTTAGGGAAAGGAAGAAAATAGGCAAGTGAGTGACTCGCATAGGCTGAGTTGCAGGCCGTGAAGGAAGAGAACAGGAAGCTTCTTTGTGGAATGGGCACTTCATGGATTGTGAATATGCTTCGGGTTTGACGAATTATTCTGGGAATGGGAAATATCTCCCCACTAGCAAATTGATTTCTACTGCTGGTTCATTTTTAGTTGCCAGTGAAAAGCCCAGAAAACTAATACATCCATTATGTCCTACATGTACAAAAGCCACCTTTAAAATTGTACAATATCGACAATTCAGTATGAATATTTAGATTACATGGGCAAACTGAGACTTTGATGACTTTACTTGAAACTCAGATAAGCAGTTTGCAGTTAAGAATGCTTTGAAATTAGAATACTTTTGAAACTTTCAAACAAAATATTTTTTTTTGCTTCAGATCCAGACTAAGTTGTTTTTATTTCCCCTTGAAATCAATGGGGTGTAGTCAGTTGTGACTACTCCAATCAACTTCTCCAATTATTTGAATGTGGCTGAAGTGCAGTCAAATTGATCTGAAACTAATCCCTTCTATATATTTAGGGTTAAATGGTGCCAGAATTATTCTCTTTTGTGGCAATTATTTGCTGCTCTCTGTGCTGGAGAAGGAAATATATGTTCCCATGGGATCTCTTGAGGACATTCAACTGACCATCTTTAATCCACCAGCCAAAGCAGTCACCATCTTAGAATTAGTCAATGTCTTTCCAGTTTATTTCCAACAATACTAAAATGTGTATGTAAGTGCATGCTTGTGCAGGAAGATACTTACAGAGGGGCCAGGGGGTCCAACTCTTCCGGCAGCACCAGGGAATCCAGTAGCACCCTGTAAAGGGAATGATGAAGAAAGTTCCATTTCAGTAACACATCTCTGTAAAAGGGACCTCTCTCTTTCTTTCTCTCAATCTCTCTCTCTGTGCACATATGTGTGTGCATGACTAATGCTAATGTGACTAATGCCACTAACCCTGTTCCATCCACCTGATGGGATCAATCCAGCAAAAATTCAAATTGATGCTGGTCTGCTTGGTTCAGGAACCTCTTTGAAATGCCAAAGCTCCAGCTATGGAAAGGCCATGGATAGCCAGCCTAGCATCTTGCTAAGAAATGCCACTGACTATTCTAAATTGAGATACAGAAATATGGAATAAACTCTTTCCATCATATCAACTGGAAAGTCTCCTACATATAGCACACAGCTTGTCATGGATAAACAACCTTATTTGCAATTTGTTAGTGCATATTGTTCAGCTAGTAGTTGCTAGAGGCAAACTACAGAGTGGGATTCTTTCCTTATCGTAAATTAGCCAGGAAGAGGCCAGCTAATAAGCATGTGCAGAGGTTTTGTCCTCACCAGCAACCAACCCCTTTTGGATGTAGATTAACCGTCTGGGAACCCAGTCTTCTCCACCTAACACAGACTGGCATCTCTCCGGGCAAAAGACTCATCCCTTCTGTAGTTTTTTGTATGTCGAATTTGTGGTACTGAGAGTTTCCAGCTTCATGTTTTTGATTAATGTGAGTGATGATTCAAATGAGTATCAGGCCCCTTTTAAAAATCGCCCCAATTAACAAGCCAGAAGATACTTACAGGGGGTCCAGGACTTCCACGAGCACCTTTGGGTCCAGGAGCACCAATAGGACCCTGCAATGGGTGATAAGAAATTCATGTTAAACCAAAGGCAGAGTGAAGATTTTGCAGAAAATATTAGGAAGCAGGGCAGGGACACTTACAGCAGGGCCGGCAGGGCCAGTGGCTCCAGCAGGGCCAGGAGGACCAGCATCACCTTTAGCACCAGCATCACCGGGTTCACCTTTAGCACCGGGTTGTCCATCAGTACCCTGTGGAGGTAAGGTGAGAGCAGATGATGAGGAACAGGGGGGAGGCAATGGAACAAAGCCCAATGAGTCTTGATCTGATATAGTATCTTCTTCTCCATCATTCGAGTACATCTGACTAAACCCTCTCCTTGAACCAGAGGAGGATGGATTGTAAGAACTTCTGATAATCTGCCCTAATTTCCAGCTTTTTCATTCTGTGGACCTGCTGGATGTAATCTAGACAGGGAGGCATAGAATCAGAAGTGAGTTCACTCAACCTGGGAAGCAGGGAAGGGAATTACCAAGTTTGAGAAATTTAATTTCTAATTTATCTTGTCAACAGCCTGACCCTCCAGATTTGTTTATCTCCAATAATTCCTAGTTAGCAGGAACATTTCATGCCCTCTGGGGATAGCAGGACTCATAGTTCAATACATATGAAGGGCCCCATGGCAAGAAAGGCTGGTTTACATAGTAGAGTCAACACCTTGTGGCACAGTGGACAGTGATCTAGACATGGAAGACTTGAGGTTCATCCATTCTTCCTCAACTGTTGGCTCATGACATGGTCTCAGGGCTAATCATTATGCCTAACCCACCTGATAGGATTGTTGGGAAGAGATACAAGGTGAGGCTTGTCATGCCTTAGCAGAAATACCGGAGAAAGAATGACTAACAGTCTATAACCAAAATCATCATGCATTTTGGTTTCTTGGCTGAACCAGTTCTGTTACAGCTACAAACGGAACTACAATTTGCACTGTAATGGCTCCTGTAAAATGTCCCAGAAATGGAATCAGCCACAACATGGTGACTTTATGCCTGGTCCACTTGTGGCTTGAACATAGAATAGAGTGCTTTGGAGTGGCAAAAAGTGTAGATAAAGGCACGTCAGGTTGCCTTTGACATACTAGCAGCATACCAATTCATGTCTACCCGATTGCTGTAAGGAAAGAACCAGAATATGCCCTCAACTGGGGTTTTTTGTTTATTTTATTTGACGAAGCAGCAGAGTTGCAGCGAGCAACTAGTAATTTGGGTATCCAGGCTTTGCTGCCCTTTTGATTAAGCTTGAGCTCCATCAGGTTGGCCTAGGCAGCTAGAAGATGGGGGAATGGAGAGGAAAACTGTGGAGTTGGAATGTGCATCAGCCATATTGGTTCTATACACAGCATGCCTGTCTGGAATCTCCTGCCTAGAGAGAACTGGCTGGAGGTAGTATTAATACTACAGGCAGGAGAGTTTGTGTCCTTCCAGCAAGAAATACTAGGAGATGCCATCAGGTAATCTTGCACCTTTTTTTGTAGCAATTTTTTTGTGTGTTCTCTAAATTCTGTCCAAAGCCTTCATCATTCTGTCCTAGTTAAAGCTCTGCCAAGCAGGTTCAACAAATTAAATCGTTTACGTTTCTCCTGGCAGAAGTCAACGGTTAGCAATTTTGCTGGAGATTACCTGGCCTTTTCATTGTGTCATTTCCTCCAATAAGAGCAAAATGGAGAGACTGCTCATTTCACACCCTGCCTGAGGGATTAAGCATTTATTAATCCTAATTTTTCAATGAGATACAAGACTTGGCCATCATACTCACAGGGGGGCCAGCAAATCCAGCGGGTCCAGCAGGGCCAGGCTCACCACGATCCCCCTGGGGTGGAAAAGAGGAACACATGAGGTCAGTAACAGGAAAGAAGGTTGGAAGAAACAGAGGAAGAAAGGCTTCGGGATTAGAAGTGACCAGAGAGAGAGAGAGAGAGAAATACTTACGGGAGCACCACGAGCACCAGTGGGTCCAGCAGGACCTTGGGGACCAGCTTCACCCTAGATAAGGAATGAACAGAGACAAAGTTATGCTTCAGAAATCTGAACAACAATCACCAAAAGAAGGGATGAGTCTAAGCAGCCACTTTCCACAGGTTCTTTGTGAAGAAGGATTTTAAAAATCTGTCCACAACCTTCCATTGCTTGGGTAAATTTGGTTAACGTAAACACGATTTCCCCCCCGCCTCGTAATTTATTCAGGGAATCCCATGGATGACTCAATCCAACATGCAAAATCAATGCATGGGCAGTTTGCCAGAGACCATAAGATCTCTATTTATTGGCGGAACTTCAGTTGGAGGAATATAATTGGTTGGATGATCTGTATACAAGCAAGCCAGGCTAAATGGGAGGCTGTGTAACTGTGGAAAGTGGAATATGGAAATCCTGGCGACATAACTTTCATAGAGATGGATATGTCATTCTATCCTTGCTCCATGTCAGTTTTGCCTGTATTTCTATTGCCTCATATTTCTGAATCATATTATCTAAGTGTGCACAAAATAGACTAAAATATGTATTTAAATAATGTATTGTTGAAAATATTTCTCAATGTATTTCATCACATTTTTATTTGAATTTTGATATTCTTCCAGAGCTGAAGGTTTTACATTAGAAAATTGTAAGCGTGAAATCCAAAGGATAATCACATTCTGCTCCATGTGTTAGTCCAGTTTGTGTGGATCAGATCAGTTTGCTTTATGAATTTCGTTGTATGGGTATACTGTGTATACTTACAATGACAATAAATTATTATTATTATTATTTATGATGCTGACTGACTGAATCCTTGCGTATCCCTGCAGATTCAGTGTCATTTATACATACTACAAATCTTTACAACCATTTATTTGAACCTGACCAATTGATGACATTTGAAAGTGGAGCCGAGATTAATCCTTCGAACCAGATATTACACAGTAAATTAAGCTGCAGATTTCTTCAGAAGAGTCATTGGCAACCAACGGCCTGAGATTCAATGTTGCCTGTAAGTGGCTGTCAGTCAGCCCATCAACCTCATCTATGCCTTTCAGGAGATGCAAAGCTTCAAATGCATCATTTGTCACTTATTTTACATAGTGTCCATACCCCATGTGGGATTAGCACACTAGTCTCAAGCTTTTCCGGTATAACCAACTAGGAAAATCCTGTTCATATCAAGTGTATAAGGTCAGATGGAAAAGTCTAGGACTCTCATCCTTCTTTGTGCCAATCTGGATTGATTGATGGTCAGATCAAGCTGCCAACTATAGTTTGACTTCAGAAACAGACTTGTGTTAAATTAGATCTGGTCTTTGTGGAATATGGACATGATCAGAAAGAACCTGCACACAGATTCATTTCCCACTAATTCCAGGGGAGGGAAAATTCTCCTAGATACGTAACTGACAACTGGACATCTTGGGGAAGTTGCTGGGCAGAAGAGGCATAAAGTCAGTGGGGCACTTGCCTTGTCACCAGGAGCACCGGCTGGGCCAGGTGGGCCAATGGGTCCAGTCAATCCTCTAAGTCCATCCTTGCCAGGAGCACCATCAAGACCTTTGGGACCTGTGTCACCCTAGGGAGGAGAGAAGACAAAGCCAACCATGAAGCCTAGAACAGAAGAGAGACTGAGGCAAGCTTTGGGAGGAAAAAACTCTCTCGTGATGCAACATATCCCAAAGTTGAAGACTTGAGAGACATAGTAACAATGGTCTTGCATGATGGGTATCAAGATATCAAATGAATTTTGACACAAGGAATCATCTTTGCAAAAGATTCCCAACTGCTGAAAATCTCCCTTGCCTTTATGTTAGCAACCTATATGATAGTGGTAGGGATGGGGTCATAGGAGGGTAGAGTAAGCTGGCAGGTTGAGGAAAGGCATCCGTCTGAGATATTGTTGCTAACAGATGTAACCAAGGGATGGAGGGCCCTGTGGCCCCCCCAGTTGTTGTTGGATGGCAAACTCCCATTAGCCCCAGCTAGCATGAGCAGTGGTCAAGGGTGATAAGACTTATAGTCCAACGACACATGGAGAAGACACACGTCGCCCATTCCTGTTGCGGATAGTTCTGAGCTCATTGGACCAATGGCTCAACTCTTGAGTTAAGCAAGTTCAAGAATTTATATGTTAGTTTTCTACCCACAAGTTGCTTCTCCAGATGATGTTCAGAAGAAAGAACACAACAGGGCTCACCATTTTGATGCCCATCATTTTCGAGGAACCCAGGACTTACTCTGTCTCCCTTGGCACCAGGCAGACCAGCAGCGCCACGTTCACCAGGCATACCCTGGAGGCCAGGAGGACCTTGATTTCCGGGAGCACCAGGAGCACCAGCATCACCCTAGAGAGGCAGAACCAATAGAACAGAAGTGGACATTGATTAGGAAAAAAGGTCAGGCAGCCAGATTCAATGTAAGAGTCCACTGATCACTTCTGAATACCTAAACACACACACACACACACATGTACACCAAAACTCCGCCAACCAAGTCAAACTCAATTGCAACCATCTAGTCCAGATTTCCCTCAAGGCCTTTAAACTGGAAGGTGTAAATATATGTGTGTAAATAGAGATATACTGTTACTTAGTCATACAAAATAATAAGAGGATCCCAAATATTACAGCTATTCCCACTAGGAACAGTTTCAAGTGGACCAAATGTTTTCTCCCTCTTTTAAATCTAGGGAATTATGGATGTTTCAAGTAAAATCAACACTGAGATTCTGAAACTTTCCTCTGTAGAATAACTATTTCACATAAACTTCCAGTATGGCATATTAACAAGGAAAAAAAGCAAGTGCAGTTAAGAATTAAAAGTAGGGATGGGATCCATCCTAGGATTATATCAGGCTTCTAGAATTACCGTATTTTTCGCTCCATAAGACGCACAGACTTTCCACACCCCTGTTTTGTGGGAAAAAAGTGAGTCTTATGGTGCAAAAAATACAGTATATAGTATCTTGCAAGGCCATTTCTTACAAGGCACACTCCATCATACTTCTTGCTTCACCCATCTCATCATCATCTTCATGCATCTCTTACCTTAGCACCATCGTTACCAGGAGAACCGTTAGCCCCACGGGGGCCAGGAGGACCTGCGGCACCTTGGACACCACGTTCACCGGGGAAACCTCTCTCACCCTATGAGGAATAAAAGGCAAACTGGTTATAAACTTGACCATCATAGAACCTAGTGGTGGACAAAAGAAAAGATGTATGGAAGACCAATGTGGAAAGAAGGTTTTCACTTACTCTTGCACCAGCAGGACCAGGAGCACCAACATCACCAGGAACGCCCTGTCAGAAACACAAGAAACACAAGTTAGCATTGATCTTGGTATCCACAGGTCAGGAGACATATTTAATCTGAGATGGGGCTGACAGATGATCCTGCTGAATAGCAGTGGAAGCCGTTCTGAATAGCAGTTCTGTTTCATGGCTGAGAGCAGCAGCGGATGGCATTGTGGCCTTTCCATATATGGAATTCTGGGAGAAATTAGAAGGAAAGGCTTCTCATTTAAGGAGGCAAGACTTGCTTAATTTGGTCACAGCCTATGGAACACAAGTATGAAGGAACTATAGAGTATGCTGGAGTGCATAGAAATAGGAGTCATTTTTTTTTCTTAAGCAGACTTGAGTAGTGCACTTTGACGGTTTTTCTAACACCTCGTGTTAGAAATAAAAATGAATCACTGCAGAGGACTCCAAAGTGGTCTATAAAATGCCCATTTTGACTTCAGAATAATAGAAAAGCCCAGAGAATTATTAAGGTGTCTCCATTACCATATTGGGAGATTCATTATGTCTGAACGAGGATTTTCAAAAGGGAAGACTTTTATCTAGCTCTTGTCTCAACCTCCCTGAAATGTCTCCCAGGTAGGGCAGGTTGTATGGGGAAGGATCAATCATCTGCAGTGTTTTGAAAGTCTGATATAATGATGTGGCAATCAAAATAATCTACTCCATCCCTACTAAAATGATAGAACCATAAAGCTGGGAGCAACCTTAAAGGTCACATAGGTGAGCTTCCTGCAGGTATAGGAAGTGCATACCTGCACCATCCTGGGCAGCCATTTACTCTCTGCTTTGAAACAAAGGAGAACCAAACACTTTCTGAGACAGTACGCTACTCCGTTCTTGCCTTCTCAGAGAAAAAGAATATGTGGATACCTGGCTCAAGCATTTTGCCTGCAATAAGGGGGTTTCCATGATCACTGGTAAGATAAACTAGAAAACCATTTTAAAGGATGATTTGGCTTATTATTATTGTCAAATCAACTGGGAGTTCACTAAAATCACCAGGGCAAATGACACAGGACAGGAGATTTTTAAAAGGAAATTGTGCTTATGGATGGTCAAAATGTCCCAGCAAAAAAAGAAAATTTGGTCTAGCATCTGTCACTATTGGACAGTTTCCAAAAGGAAGACCATCTAATGAACAAACTCCTTCACTTGTCATGAGATGGCATTGTCCTGAAGGAGAGAACAAAGCTGCCCTTCCTGAAATTTCTTTAAGCTGTACTGTGGAGTTGTGAACAGCAAAACAGAAGAAGTAAAAAGAGAAGACGACGGATCGTTCGTTTACATACATACATCATAGGATGTATAGGAAGAGTTCCGGCAGTGGATTACTAACATGTTTTGTTTGAAAAGGAAAGGTACAAGTGATGACCAAACTACGCAGGAAGGCAACTATAAAGACAATATAAATGGGAAGCAAAGTTTCTCTGGGGAGTAAGAGCACGCTTGTAAGATGGTCAGCCATCGGCAGATGCAACCATCTCTATTTTGACTTCGGCACAAAGAGCCACATTATTTACCTGTTCACCAGGCTTTCCAGCTTCACCAGGGGCACCAGCGGGGCCAGGAAGACCCTGAAAGAGGAAACCAAAGATGAAGAGTGCAATTGTGCAGAAATAGAAATGATGAGACTAAAATATTCCTTGCCAAAGAGGTAGTAGTTATTATCTACAGCTTAATTATTCTTCAATTGCTTTCACTGGCACAGGCACTGCTAGGCATTTATATGGATTGTGTGTCCTCTGTTTTGCCAACTGTCCTTTATTTTTATCTTTTTTACAGAAAACTTTCTAGCTCATGTCATTTGGAAGTCCCTTCAATCTGCTCACCCTTCCACCCCCGATTACTCCAGAGAAAATCTTACGTTATTTGAAAATCCAGAGCAAAGGGGCAAATGCAAGATGAAGTATGGACACGCAAATATACTTAATCCGCATTGCTTGCTATTCATTGGATTTGGATTTACTGATGTCGAAATCTGGAGCTCCACCAAGACGAGAATATTCACACCTCCGACAGAGCCTCGTTTATGTAAAATTCCTCACCTGGAATCCAGGAGCACCAGATGGACCTTGTTCACCTCTTTCTCCAGCAGGACCCTATGATGGAAAATAGAGGAAGGTTCAAGACTTGGTAAAATTGAAAAGGAGGTGTCCCGCAATAAACATCAATCATAGAGAAGGTCAGATCAAGGCAGAATTCCTACTTACAGTTGGGCCGGGAGGTCCTTGAGCACCAACTTCACCGTCTTTGCCAGGAGCACCCTGGGAGAGAGAAAAAAAGATGGGGCAGGCATTAGAAAAGGTGGAGATGAGAGGATCTGGAAGGAATGATTGCTGAGGGTTTGCATTTGTATTGTCTTAATTCACTGCATTGCTTCTAATAACTCTGTATAACCATATTAGGCATGCTGCTTTCTACCTCTCTTTGTGGGAGATGCCTCTGCACAATCAGATCTTGTTTCCCCACTGTCATTGTCTCTCTGTGATCACCCTCTTTCCTACGCCTTCTTTGCCATCTGACTGCCTTGGAGGGCACCCCCTACTAAAGATTTATTAGTTCCTTTCTGCTCCCAGTTTCCTCCATGATAAGTACTTCAGGCTTTTCGAGGAAAGGTCCGCTGGATTACTTCTATGTTCTGCATTATGCCAGACACACAGTAGCTCACTGCTCTGTGTTGTAGGAGGAAGAGTAGGAATTAGCTGCCCCTTTCTCTGTTCCATAGCCATTGCTTTGTCAGATGAGAAGTGCAGAGATGTCTTGCCTTTGTCTAGAAACCATTTCTGTATGCTTGTCTAGAACTGGTCTTGGGTGTAAAAGACAAGTGCAGTAGCGCACACAGAGTGAGATACTTACAACAGCACCAACAGCTCCAGGAGCACCTCTCTCGCCAGGTTTGCCAGGTTCACCCTAGAAAAGAAGCAGGGGAGTTATTTCTGAGACAGAAGCAATCATTTTACAAGCAAAGAGTAAAGAAGATATTCTTAGCAGTGGATCTTTGCACTCCTTGGAGTTTACCTATGATTGTGCAAATTCGGGATGTAACTATTGAATTTATGCTGGGAAGGGATCTGTGTACAACAGTGCTTGACATTTGGGCCACAGATGGATAAGACTATTTGCGGGATAAAACCATAGTGCCTGCATTCTACCCTGTTTCCCTGAAAATAGGACCTAACCTGAAAATAAGCCCTAGTATGATTTATCAGGATGCTCGTAATATAAGCCCTACCCCCAAAATAAGCCCCAGTTAAGTGAAACCCTGCCCTCCACCATTGTGCAGCAACCAGAAGAAGATTGCATGACTGTATTTGAATAAATGTAGATTATTGTACATGAAAAAAACAAAATATTCCCTGAAAATAAGCCCTAAAGCGTTTTTGGAGCAAAAATTAATATAAGACTCTGTCTTATTTGGGGGGAAACACAGTATATCACTGGAATTGGTCTTGGCTCAGGAATCGTTTTGTATCATAAAATATCAGCCTCAAATCATCATCATCATCATCATCATCATCATCATCATCATCATCATCATCATCATCATCATCACCATCATCATCACCATCATCATCATGTGCTATCAAATAAATTCTGACATATGACAATCCTTTTCAGGGCTTCCCAGGTAGCGTACTCAGAAATAGTTTTTCTGAGTACTCTGCCTTTCATCCTGGGGACTTCCTGTGCAGCTTGCCAAAGGCCACAGAGGATGACTCTACACATGGGAAGCACAATGGGGAACTGAAATCCCAATCTCTGGTTCCACAGCCAGATGCCTAATCCACTGAGTGATCCAGCCAGCACCCAGCCAGAAATAAGAGAGCATATGCTCTTTTGCAACTAGTGCCTGTACATCTGAAATGCCACCATCTTATTATACCTCAGAATTTCCCATCTTTCTTCCATCTTCTTCATTACTCCTAAACCCCAAGAGGACTAGTCTTTCTCGTCATTTTGGAAATTTTTGTTAACACACTGCTTCTCCTGTTCACATTCCAGAAGCATGGATTTCAACAAAACAAAATTTGACATCTCAACCGGTGAACAATACCTAAAGTGATTTTGTAATCTAGCGTATCTGAAAGCTAAAGTGGGCATCTCATACAGTTGCTCACTCAATTTAAAACTGGAAAAGGATGCCTTAAAGGCCACTGCCAGAAACCTTTAGATAGTAGCTCTGAAAGTAGTTAGCATGTTAAAGGATGCCCTCCCAAGATAACACTAGCAGACTTTTACAGTATGTGCTGTTATGATTAAGTAGGCCAAGGGAAGATTTCTGAAGCAGTGAGGTCAACACAGGTTGGCTATTTCAGGGATTTTGACGATACCTCAGAAACAATTTCTGAAGTGATAAACTAGGATGTAGAGAGCTGTGGATACCTAAGAGCACTCTTTGAGACTTGTTCAGCAAACCAGAATCCCTGCCACAGTGAACAACTTGATTCCTCAATTATAAAAATAATTTATAAAGGGGAAGAAGTCATCTAGAAGAGGTCACTGTGTGAAATGGCACTGTTTGGGATGTGTGAAGCCATGCTTGTGCTTCATAACATTGACTATGAATCATATTGACCCTCGCTGAAAATGAAACTGGAACCAGGCATACTGTGGTGCCCCAACTATGGTGGCTATATTTTTATTTCCAGCATCTCCATAGGCTATATCAGGTCTGGAAATGGCTAAAATAGCCAAAATTGGAGAAGAGGATAAAAACATAAAGCCACTAGACATATACTTCTAGTTTTTATTTTTATTTGATGTGGGAAGGTTTGGGGGCTTTCAAGATACCCAGTGAACACCACCCCCTTGCAAAAAACTGCTGCTCTACTACTTGCTTAAAATACAAAGAGAGCAACAATCAGGAGCTGCAATCCAATCAGTACTGCCTACTATTTCAAGAAGCTGTGGATGAGTACTCTGGAGGCAGCCATTACAGGAGCCTTTCACACTAAGCTGGGAAGGCTGCCATTTTGATATTAATGCTTGGGCATTTCAAAGGGCAATACATTGAAAGGGAAAACTAGTTTTTGCCACCCTTGCATTCTCATCCAAGGGAATGTGACATTTAGGAAAAGATTACTTACAGCTGCGCCTTTAGGTCCAGGGAATCCCATCACACCAGCTTGGCCTCTTGCACCAGGTGGACCTGCAGGCCCAGGGCGACCATCTTGACCAGCAGGGCCCTATCATGAGAGAAGAAACCAATGCAATGCTTTTGCTGTTTTCTTTTTAAAAGAGAAGATTCCTGTTCGGAAAAGGGGGAAAGACGGGGAAAGGATTTCTGGTTACTTACAGGGGGTCCAGTCTTGCCATCGGGACCAGGGCTACCAGGGCTACCAGTCAGACCCTGAAGGAGAAGAAGGGAACGAGAGTTAAGAAACAGCCTTTCGTAGATTAACAACAACAACAAAAAAGCTTGTGACCTAAGAGGAACAGGATAAATACAGTGCCCTAAGGCATGCCACGGCACCATCTGAGTAGCATGCCAGCATCCTATGCAATGCTGCTTTAGATAGTGGATCACTGCTCTGGGATCATCCATCCAAGAGGAGTCAGTTCTATTCAGCATTCAGTACAATACCAAAAAAAACAGGAATGCGAACACATTAAAGATGTGTTAACCTTGAAACCTCTGGAATATATAATGGCATTTGTCAGGATAACCCCTTATGGGGCATCTCTTGAAAAATATGCCTGGTTTCTTAAATGATGCTTTACAATGTTTTGAATGTTGAGGTTTTTTTAGATGGTTCTGTCTTCCTCTATGCTGGCTGGGGCTGAATGGGTAGGGTAAGCCAAAATTATCTGCAGGATTGTCTTCCTTTGGTATAAATAATATTCAAAACGTTTACGCAGCCAGTATATCCATGATATGCCCTGCTCAGTTAGGTTTTCTTTTCACCAAAGTGTAAAGCCTTTTTTTTGTTTTTAGAAGTCTTTACAGCAGCATAGATGTTTTTAAATGGTTTTATGCTACTTAAATTGATTTGTACATGCTTTTAATTCTGATTCCAATCTTGCTGAATATTGTTGTAAGTATACAAGAGCAGAAAGGAACAATTAAATGGACTAGGCAGTAGATTAGTGAGCTAGTTTATGTCTTGTAGTGGGAGCTGGGAGACAGGATTACAAATGACTGAGCAAGGGAGGATTTTGAGAGCTTGTGTGACTCAGAAATGCTAGTCTGTGACTTGGCTCCTAAGCCCAGAGCTCAGTTCAAATTACAGTAAAGCATAATCCTTGACTCAGTGACAGCAGGTCTCATATTCCTGGGCCGGGCAGAACACTCACCTGTGAACATACCCTGGATAAAAATGTGGGGAGGGGGTTTCAGAGAGGCTGAGATTTCCCCTAAAAAGTCTACCATGTTTCCCATGCTGTTTGCAGCTGCTGTTTCCTCACATAACTAGTTTGGTCTCCTTTTTTTCAAGGGTTTCTTCTTTCCCAGCCAATCCAGAGACTCATCAAGAGCCCGAGGATACTATACTATTATTCAGATCTGGCTATGTGACAATGTCATTAAATCGACTCAGAGCAAGGACACTGCTTTCTGGGTCACTGGCACTGCCCTTATTCTGAATGGGTGATTACGTGTGTCCTTTTCTACTATCCCCACCCCAACCTGTGAAAAATGGCTAAATATAGGCAGCCAAAGCTGTCATAAGGAAGCTCCCTCCTTTCAGTTAAATCCACCCCACCCTGTGAAAAATGGCTAAATATAGGCAGCAAATATCATAAGGAAGCTCCCTCCTTTCAGTTAAAGTCCTATTTATTTCTCAGCCTCATTCTATCTATAAAATGGAATAACTGACAAAACCTTTACCAGTTGGTGAGAGGGTTATGTGAAGTATTTAAACATCCTATATTCATAAGTGTAGTTAAAATAATGACAAGGGGAGCTTATGATTTCCTGACATGGTTTATTTTTTAATTCCTCTCTAGGGTGCAAATCCAGCTTTGACAGGGAATCTTGGTACACAATGTGCCTGAGGGGGCCAAGAGAAAGTCAACTTATTGCATTTTCAGACACATACCCATCCTGTCCGGGTGCATGGCACTTACTCACCTTGGCTCCAGGGAGACCAGGCTCACCAGGGCGTCCAGCTTCACCAGTTGATCCTTTGGGGCCAGCGGGGCCGGGAGAGCCACGCTCACCAGGAGGGCCCTGGAAGAGGAAAAGCGATTAAGAATGCCCATTAAACACTGCAGGTAAATATTGTTGTTGCTTTTTTCTCCTACAGTTCTATGTGCCTGGAGAAGAAAAGAACTGAACATGGAATGGAAACCAAGAATGGTCAGTTTGATTTTTATGTGGAGGACTTAAACATTCCATCTTAGGGATATGTAGGAAAATAAGATCTGAAAATAAGTCCCAAGAGCTCACAAAAAGCCAAACACTCCACAATGTGTGAACAAACTCGTGTAACTCTGGCTGTGCTTTAATGAAAACAGCCTATGTGAGTTCTGTGCACACCCACTTGAAGTGGAGAGCATTCAAATGAGAGGAAGGGGCCAAATATAAGACAGAATCAGATATATGCAGGCTTCCGTATCTTACAAAAGGTCAAACAGTCCTGGTATCAACTGATGAACCAGATATTTCTTGGCCTCTTTAAATTCCCAGAGCTTTGAAAAATAGTTTTTCCCTCCTTTTTGCGACTTAACTCCCACAATTTCACTGCCAACAGTGGGTAAGGGCTTCTGAGAGTTGTAGTCAAAAAAAGTAACTTTTCCAAGCTGTGACAGTTTCTCTGAAGGGATACACAAAGGAAATTCCCTTCATTTTTTTATTTGTTGAGTAGTTAAGTTTGAACTGTACAGCTCTGCTTTCAAATCTGCCATCAAAAGCCAGTTGCTTCTCATCCTGCATTTCTAAAATGGAGGAAAAGCCACTGAAGAAAAACTCTGCAAGGCACTATTATATCTATCTCTAAAATGGATGCAATAATAGCCAGGGGTTAATTGGAGTTAGTTAAAGGATACTTTGTCATTCTACTGCTTTTCAAAAGCTTGCTGTTTTAATTGTTTTATTGTTAAAAAAAATTTAAATCAACTATCAAGAAGCAGGGAAACAAAATAAGTACTGTATATATTTTTTTTATTTATTTAATTTATATCCTACCCATTTATTTATTTATTTATTTATTTATTTAATTTATATGCTGCCCACACTAGTATTAAAATAAAACACTTCAACCATATTAATACACAAGGATGGTGAGATACGTTAGGTATCGACAGGAGGAAAGGCCTGTCTGAAGAGCCAAGTCTTAAGTTGGCTCTTAAAAACGCCGAGCAAGGGAGCCAGACAAATTTCTGGGGGGAGATTGTTCCAGAGCCGAGGGGCCACTGCCAAGAAGGCCCACTTTCTTGTTCTTTCTCTTTGGGCCTCCCTCAGAGTTAGGACTATTTAGATTGCAATAGATCAGGCTTATGACCTGGGCAGCACACAAATACACGTGGAGTACTTGTATGCATAGTGCCATTTGCTCAACAACGAATAAATCTTACCACCCAATCTGGGACATGAGTATGATGCCAGCGGAAGATTTTTCAAAATGGCGTAACATTCTAAAGAAATCGCTCTGGGCTTCCATCCGCTGACAACATATATTTCTCCTACTCTCCCTTCTTCTGACTTAGCTGTCTCTGCTTAGCCCCATGTTCTAGGGAGCTGCGCCGAGGTTCCTTCTCCCAAACTGTTTCCCTCCTTGCAGTCTGATTGCTCTGCCCTATAGCTTGTTCAGGGGTGGTGGTGTTTTTTTGTACGTTTCCGTCTAGAAGAATATGGAGAGCAAGAGATTAGAACCTACCTTGGGACCAGCAATGCCATCAGCGCCAGGGAAACCACGGCTTCCAGGAGCACCCTGTGAATGAGATGAAACAGAAGAGGTGAAATTTGCATATCCAACAACATGCCACAAAGCAGGGTCGCCAGTCAAAATGCTGGCATAGGGTAGCTACTTCTGTTGTGAACAGGAGAGGGAGGGAAAATCACTGCAGCCTTCAAAATGACTGAATGGCCAATGAATGAAAAAGGCCTTTCAAGAAAAGCTTTGCAATGCAGCATTATCTACAGACCAATGATGGTAACTTTGGCTTCATGCCCTTCTTGTAAGTGTAAGAAACTGATGGCACAGCTATCATGGCTACAGGCAGAACTGCCCACCTGCTAACACACCCCTAGTCTGCAATCAGCATGTATAACCCACAAACAGAAGACAGGTGATCCAAAAATGCCTCCTTTGGGGTACAGCAGGAAGGTGAATGCGAAGCAAGGGGATTCAGGCAATTCTAGCACAAGCATTAAACACCACAGCAGGAAGCAAAAGATGCAGAGAAATTCTTTGGGCAAAAGGGAGCAGGACATGTGAACCATGAGGAGCTTTGATTCCACAACAAACACTTGCTCATCACCAAAAGGACTGGTTGCCTAACTAGATAAGGACTGTATGGACCTCCTGATGTTGTTTGGCTCACATCAGTCCTCAGCAACGTAGCCAAGGCTAAGGGATATTGCAGTCCAACCACATATGGAGAGCTGCACGCTGCCCGTTCCTGCTCCAAGGAAATCTGTCTTGGATTTCAGCATAGGAACAGAGGAGACATGTGGTGCTTATTTCTAGATCTTGATGTGAATTAATTCTCAGGAAGGAACTGTCTTCATCTGTTAATAATAAAGAATAACAAAGTCCCACCCTCACTGTGGTGCCCAGACAGTGAGCTGTTGTGGGCTCAGAATAATAATAAGCCGCTTGGGGATCAGACTGAAAGCCTATCTAGTCCAACTTTCTGGCCTTCCTGGGGTCAGTCAAGTTCCTTTTGACAACTCACAAGCAGGATACAAACACAACAGCATGTTCCCATGGGTTTCCTAGCAGCTGGCCTTCAGTGGCATACTCCTTCTGGGACTGGAGGTAATAGATCGTACTCATCATGATGAGTAGCCACTGCATGAGGAAGGAGCACCCTATATTGGTGTAACCATAGATAAGGTTACATATCTTGGACCTCTTAACACCCAATGCATGACTGGTGGGAAAAATACTCTTACGGCCTGTGGACCAGTTTTTATGCCACGAGAACTCTGTGGTTGGGTTGCTGCTTTTTAAAATGGTTCTAGCTCACATTGATCTAATATCAACTGAACCTGGAATAACAAGGCAAATTTTAACAGTTAGTTCACTTCCTTCCCATATCAGGATCTTGGGGATGGGGCATGATGTAAAGTATGCTTATATCTTAAAATTCAGTGTGCTTTGAAGTGTTGCGGCATACTCTGGTTTCAGAATAGCTTCCTTCTCCCAAAGGAGACTAAACCCTACTCAGTGAGGCTTGTTAAGTCTTAACGTCTGGCATCCTTGAGTTTTTATTTATAATTTGACTAACCTAAAGAGAAACTGTGGGCCTTTCTGACAGATATGTGGTCCATGCACAAACTGGACTTCTTCTAAATGGGTACTAAGACTGGTTTCGTTTTGGTGCCCAAAGTTAAGAGGAGATCAAAGGATGAAGGTGTTACGTACACGTTCACCGGCGGGTCCAGGCAAGCCAGCAGGTCCAGGCTCACCACGAGATCCTCTTTTGCCTTCTTCACCAGGTGGACCAGGGGGGCCTTGGACACCAGCAGGACCCTAGAAAATAAAATGCAGGAGAGAAAGGTAAGAATTTGTGAATGGCCAATGGAACCAGAACAGAAGCAAAGTTACAGACACATTCCAGGTAAGATGGACACTTACAGTTTCTCCTTTGGCACCAGTATCTCCTTTGTTTCCTGGAGCACCAGGTTCACCCTAAATAAGAGACAGAGAACATTCAGTCATATATCTTTTTTTCCATCAAAGAAACACAACAGTGGCTTTGTTTTGTATCCTATAAGAGATCAAGGATGTGCGGCTTCTCTGAGTTGATTCTCAGTGAACATCAATTGTGAACACAGTCTAGAAAGGATCACGTTTGGTAAGATGTTATGAATCAATGGATCATTGGTTAGAATGATTGATGGCAAGAAGCAGAGCCTGGGGGGATAAGGAGTTTAAAACACTCCTATAAAGAGGCACCCGGGGAGAACAGGCATTCTGTGAGAGCTCACAATCTTTCTGTGGCGGTTGGGAAAGGAACATCCTGCCCAATAATTTTGGAATTGCAGCTCCTGAAGGGTAAGTTTTGTGTATCATTTTAATATAATTATTCCACTTAATGAACAGATCTAACTGTTTTGAGGTACTGTAATTTTCAAAATATCAGAATGTGCTGACAGTACTGCGTGATATGGTGCCAAAGACAACAAACTATTTGGAGGAGGTCGTCCCCATCAGATAAAGCTTTTGAACAAGCTGACAACACACTGAGAATCAAATGACAGTAATAATTATGCTGTCAAGTCATTTCCAATTTACTGTGACCCTCCCAGTGTTTTCTAGGTATATTTGAACTGGTTTGCCACTTCCTCCTTCTGCTGGCAGTTGGCAACCATACAGCTTGCCCAAAGGCCACACAGGTGCTAGGGCAGGTAACTCCATCAACTACATACATTCTGCATGACCTCAGCTAGTTCCTCATACTGCCTCACACTGGGATTATTTGCTTCTAGTCCCTGGCTCTGCAATCAGGTGCTTCAACTCACTGAGCTATATTAGCGCTAGTATCTAGATACTCCCAAGTATTAAACAAGCACATCTATAGGGAGGAGACTGTCCTAGAAAAGTGATGAGGAAGTTATCTTTTGAATGAGGGATGCTATGATGGAATTTTCTAGTTTATCCCATTAGTTAGGGTAGACTGGTGAGGTAGTCTAAGAGCCTAAACTGAAAATAGGTATAAATTAAATAATGAGTCAAAGGGTGAGAAAGAATTAGATGCCACTTACGCTGTTACCCTTGGGACCAGGAGCACCAGCAGGGCCTTGAGGTCCGGCGGGGCCACGAGCGCCAGGGAAACCGGGAGCACCAGCGATGCCAGGAGCACCCTAGAAGAGAAAGCAGGATTTTTGAAACAGCTCATCAGCAAAGGCATGGAAACGGACAAGAAAGAGCTTGTGAAAGGAAGATACTTACAGGTGATCCTTTGGCACCAGGTTGGCCATCAGTACCGGGGTTGCCCTAAAGCAAGAGAAGGAAGAAAGAAGGTTCATCGTCGTTGTCATTACTTCTAGAAAATTCTGAAAAAAGGAAAAGCACCAATGAACAGGGGAGTAGCTTACAGAAGGACCAGCTGCACCAGCAGGACCAGGTGGGCCGGGTTCACCACGAGCACCTTGTGGGCCTTCACTGCCACGAGAACCTTGGGCGCCAGTTTCACCCTAAGCAACAAGAGAAAGGAAAACTATAATTAGTAAAAAAAAAATACTTCGCCTCAAGGCGGGGTTCATTGTCCTTCCTCGTCAGACTACACTATACCACAAGTAGTCCTCTTGAGGTCTCACAGTACCTTCTTTCTTCCAACCCTTACACATAAATAGCAGTAGCTATGCAAGCTAGGAGACTCTGAAAATTATAATCTTAAAAGCTAGCTAACTTCTCCAAGCGTTGATCAAGTCCTCATGACCTAACCACCTGTGCATCAGAGATCTGAGGCCTGTTACCGCAGACAAATCACTCAGTCCTTCCAAGCCTTTCTGATATATTTATCAGAGGCTTACTCTTAAGGCCTGTGTACCAGGGTTTTTTTTTACATGTCCAGAAGTCTGTGGTTGGGCTGCTGCTTTTTTTTATTGGTCTCATGTTGCTGTAGTGACAACTGAACCCTGAATATCAAGGCCATGTTTTTAAAAACAAGGTCACTTCCTTCCCACATCAGCATCGTAGGGTTGGGGAGGCTGATAATGACACCAGAATGAGAAGCAGCATTGCTGACTTCTCTTACCTGATGTCTAGGATTCACATTTTAACCGGGACAAGATGGGAAGTTACAGCGGAGAACCACTCAGCTTTCATAATGCAAGAACTGGAACTCCCTTAACGGTGAGAGTGTCAGCCTTGATTCGTGAGAACAGAACGGTTAGGGCTGTTAACAAGACTAGGTAGGTTTGAGAAAGTTTTTCATGATCAGTCATAGGCTGAGGAGGCTCTTTGGGCACCTCCTTCCACCGAAGAAGAATATCCTTGTGGCTTATTTTCTAGAAAATATTTGAACTAGGGTAGGGGTAGTGCTGCAGAATCCTTCCTCTCAAAATGGGAAAGGAGAAGATGGAGCACTCCCCTGCCACCCCACCCACCTGCTTTCTTTTCATTAGCAACACCAGAAAGTTGAATCAAGACAGGCTAAACCATACCATTTTGATACTACCAAGGTAATCCTCGCAAAGCAGTTACTTTTATACATCAAAGTACTCAGGTGCCCTTACCTTGGGACCAACAGCACCAGGGAAGCCAGGGGGGCCAGCAGGACCAGTGGGACCCTGAAAGCAGAAGGGCAAAACATTAAGTGGTGATTATGGGGTTTTCCTTAGTTTTCCAGATGAATAGCCCCTGAACACGGGCTAGCTGACCCACAAAAGTGGCTAGCGGCTTAGCCTGTGGATAAGGAGGAGGAAACTGGAATGAAACTGGCTCTTCCATTCCACAGCTGCCTAATTATAGAGAGGATGTCCAGCAGACCCCTCACTGGGATGGACTGGGTGGCCACAGCTCACATTTTGTATAGCCGAGCCTTCTGTCTTCCCAAGGAAACAATCTTCTATCAAGCAATACATTATAGCCCAATTAGAAGATGCAAAGCAGTGCAATAATACTTACTGGGGGACCAGCAGCACCTGGAGAACCATCATTACCACGAGCACCCTGTAGTAAACAAGAAGGGAAAGAGTGTTTGAGTTACAATCATCTTCTCACCAAGCCATGGAAGAGCTGGGAGTCAGTATGTGGAGCCAGTCCATCTTTTACCACAAATGTTCCACAATCCAGAAAAATTTACTTACAGCAGGGCCAGGAGCACCAGGGCGGCCTCTCTCACCAGGAAGACCACGGGGACCCTAGGCAGAAGCAGAAAGAACAAGGTCAGCTAGGAGAAAACAGTTTTGATCTCTGCCCCCTTATTAGGCGCACATCCTTTCTTAGCTGTTCCCTTCGTTTGATCATCTTTAGTGTCTACTACTTCCTTCAGTCACCAAAATCCTCTTGGATTCTCACGTGTGCACAGAAGGAACCAGGCAGTTGCCACAACTGATGGATGAGGTGCTGTGCACCTGCTGGTCGCAATAGTGGGAACCTCATCAACCTACTTGATTCTTGTTGCATGCATGTAAAATCCCAACAGGACTATATCTGCTGCTAATAAAGGAGTTTGTTTATTCAGAAGGGAACTACTGGTATAGCCCAGGGAGCATTAATTGCCAGCATTGTAGCACTTTAATTCGACAAGTTTCATTTGCCATCAGCTTTTGTGGAATGCAAACCACTTCACCAGTTTGTCTTTTTTCATTTTGTTGCTGCTTCATACCTATTATGTGCCTGCAACAAAGTTAATTTTTAAAACCCCACCCCTTCCTTATATGGTGTCTCATTTTCATTAAGTATTCCTGTTCTTTTGGAGTCCTGTGCTTCTGGATCTGCCTGGAACTCTGTCTAAAAGCTGACAAAATATCATTGTGGAATCCATTAAAGAAAATAAAAGAGTATTTGCCCCATTGCTTTCCCCATTCAGGGATTATAACCCCTCAGTTCTACCATGATCATTAGCATTCCAATTCCTCTACCTGAGATTTTGCACGGAGATTTGTAGTTCTTCTAAAGTATTTCTCAATCTTTCTTGTATTCTTAATGTTAAAAAGTTGTCATCTTAATCCATTTAAGGATGGATTTAGAGTAAATGTTTACACTACTTTTTTGGGGGGGGGTGTGATGGTGGTAGGGGTTGCCGTTTGCTAGCTGTTGCATGACGCTAATTCTTTTGAAGGGTTTTCATGATGGATAAGGAATGAAAGGACATCTACACTAGATACCTTCAAACAAATGAGTTTCACTTGATCTCCAGCAAAGCAAAAAAGAGTCCAGATAAACTATCTGGATTCATCTCCAGAACAGAAAGATTCAAAGATGGGACCACAATACTGGGGAACAGATGAAGCTGGCTTGTTGAGTCAGACCATTGGTCCGTCACACTGAATAAAGTCTGCTATCATAGCTCTTGGGAGTCTTGTTCATCAGATATTCCAACCCTATTAAGGGGAAGTGCCAGGGTTGTTCCTGGAACCTCTTATCTGCAAAATTTATGGTCTGCCACAGAGCTTCAGCAGAGTTCCACCTGCTCTTCTCATTTGGGAGTTTTCCTTCTGCGATTAAAAGCCCTTCTTGCCGACACCCACCACAGGATCGTAAAATACAGAAAGAACAAAACCCCAGATAGGAAAAGATTGAAAGCACGTGCTCACCACTTGTCCAGGAGCACCATTCTCACCAGGGCTGCCAGGCTCACCCTAAAAGAGAAAACCGAGCAGATATATCAACACACCTCATTTCTGAATCAGGAGATAACAAAATTCTGCATGAACTGAAGGAAGTAGGAACTTCAATTGTACACTCACCTTGGGACCAGCTGGACCAGGATCACCCTTAGCACCATCAAGACCGCTGAAACCCTAAAGGAGATGGAATCAATGGAAAGTTGGGAGAAAAAGGAGACTCGTCAGAATACAAAAAGTCAAGGAAAAGCGATGGTTCCTCTATTATAATTCGCAAAGAAGGCATGGGTTCCATATGGCCAAATTATTTTCACATTAGCAGTCTTGTGGAAGCTTAACGGGTCCAGGTGTGGTTGCAGGAATGGTAGGCCCTTTTAAAACTAAGAAAGACAGGGTGTAACTATGTATAATCCACATAATACCATTCCCTCTGACAAGCAAAAATTAAAACAAAACAGCCCTTAGGTAGAGATTTCAAAGGGTCTGTTTCACTGGTCTTGTTTGCTTCAACGTTGGCTGTCCCTTAAGATCAAAGCACATAAAAAGGTTGCAGAGTTCACCTGACCATGAGTCGGGGTTGTGTGATGGTCACTTTTAGGGAGGCAATGAATGCCAGGAATTATGCAGTGAAGATGCTATGGTAAGGGCCACGAGTGTAGTTTGTATCCTAACGGTGACAGTTCCTGAAAGCTCCAGATGTCATCGATTACTACTTACTCCTAACTAATAATCTAGCCTTGGGACACTTTGAAATGCAAGATCCCTAAGCTGCATTGAGTGTTGAGCACACTTACTCTGTGTCCCTTCATGCCTGGCAGGCCAGCAGTTCCAGGAAGACCACGGGCGCCCTGAAGTAAAAGAATAAGAAATTATTCAGAAGGGAGTGAAGAAAAGCAAATGATCAAGTTTCATTTTTTAAAAAAACATTTGCTGTAAACATGCGGATGGGAGTTCTTAAACCACATCCTAACATATTACAGATTTATCTTCAAACTACTTTTCAGCAATAGCCACAATATGCTGTCATCACATTTAAAAAAAAATTCAGTGTGGTAGAATATGGTATTCTGTTTGGACAATCTTAATGGATCACTTCTACTCTCTAATCTTGTCTCCCAGTTAAGATCATAGTTCCCTGTTTATATGCAACCACCAATCAAGCGCTCAGGACTTCAGAGAGCACATGAGCTGCAATGGGTAGAATGTATGAGTTCATCTGTGGAAATGTCCAGGCGGTCACTTTTTGAGCTTAGGTGTGTCATCATTTCTCAACATTAACTTACTGCCCTGCAAAATGTTACATGAGGGCGAGTTGAAACAAGGATCTATTGTAAAACGTCTTTGTGGATGTGAGTGTAGAATGGGATGGAATGTGTTTGTAAACCAACCCACCCACCCTCTGTGTCAAAGAGCAAGGATAACGATTCCTTAAGCTCCTTCATGTCAATGATTATCCTGCGATGTAGAAGCTGTTACTGTCCAGGTGTCACTGAACTCCAATTCTTACCAGCCCTAGTTAGAATGGCCAGTAGTCACTAAAGCTGAGAGTTGTCCGCCAACAACAGGAACACAGATTCCCTGTCTCTAACCTGGCCCAATCTTCCAAGGTTACTAGTCAAATGCTGGAGGTTCCACACCTCACCACAGGATATACTCCTCTATTTCTCCTTCTGCTATCAAGGAGGAAAGGTGCTTAATAGCTGTCTCATGGCATCCTCCTCACCAGGTAGGAGAGTTATCTCACCTGTGGGCCTGGAGGACCACGCTCACCAGGACGGCCAGGTTTACCAGCTTCACCCTTGAAGAAAGAAGAAAACAGAATTGAACCAAATGCTGGAATAATTAAGCTTTACAGCTAATTTACTTGGGAGAAAGTATCAATTCCAGATTTGTCTTTGTAAAGAGAATCTAAACACTTATGGGGATAATTTTAAGATTCGTAAAGGCCATTCAGAAAAAGTCCTGTGAAGTCAAACGGTGTGGCCTCAGAGCTGGCATCTCTGTTCCTATCAGCGGGAAAGTGGAAGGTGAAGGAGGGAGCAAAGGGAAAGAGAGAATAGCCAAGGTCCGGCATTAACAAGGAGTGGAAGTTCCATTCCATGCTGATCACGTGAGAGCAGAGGAGTTAAAGAGAGTTGAACTAGGGATGGGATTCTTTGGTATCACTAATTCTCTTCGGAAGACAGACTGCAAGGTGGGACAACTAGCAGTTAACTGCCCATTGATGGGAGACACCAAGAGAAAGACACTGAAGAACTGAAGGAGGTGGGAGCCTCCATTCTCATAGTTAGACCTTCCTATTTCTTTCTTTCTTAGCGACATAATGAATTTGCTCACTCAAGCTTGTAAGCTGAGAGCAACCTCAACACTAATGGCAGCAATTTATCTGTCAATTCAAACATACTAACATCTCGGGCTTGCCATTTAAAAAATAACCGCAAAGATTTCTTTCCATCAGCCTTCCCAAGGAAAGACAAAAGTCACTCACGTCATCTCCGTTCTTTCCGGGTGGGCCAGCTGGACCACGGGGACCCATTGGACCCTAGAGAAACAAATGCGGTAAAATCAGAAGACATCCCATACATAACACAGCTGATCTTTGAAAAAGTGGGTCAAAGCAGAAACAAGTCGGCAGCATTGTCTGTTCAAAAGCTCCCCCAAGTGGTACAATGGGAGAACTCCAACAGACTGAAGACTCTTCCGCTGAGCCATAATAATAACGGGAGAGTGCAAAATGGAAAAAGAAGATCCAGTAATACTTACAGAAGCACCAGGCTCTCCGGGTTCACCAGGGGGACCTTGGAAACCTTGGGGACCCTGAAAGATGAAAAGAAACACATCTGTGTGAGAAGGGAAAGGGTCCTGGCCTGCATACTTAGCTGTTTTGGATGGACTGGTGAGGAATCTATCCATGTCCTAAAGCTATGGACCATCCCTTCTTACCTATTCTTGCCCCCATGACTTCTGCTGTGCTACCGTCTTGGCCTTGAACTGCCTAATCATCTCTGTTGAAGTTCTCCAGGGCCAATTGTTTCTTTTTTCCTCTTGCTGTTCCCCAGTACTGATTTACTAGAGCCCTGTCTGTTGTTACCCAAGCAGAGACCATTAAGTCCCCTCATAAGCACTGACTTGCGTCAGTGTTCTCTGGGCCATGCAAAGAAAGAAATGCAACGAATATCTCTGAAAATGATCAGGGCTATGCTTTGGACTGAGGAGGCAGGCCTACTGCTAGAGTCCAAAAATCCTACAACGTTATCGTGAAATTATCTCCCACATCAAACAGGAAGGTAGACATGGGTAAGCATTCCACTTCCCTGCTCTCAACTATCCAGATTCCCTTTGGAGGCCTGTCAGTATCCACATTTGTGGAGTAGGCCTCACAGAAAATGACAGGCTCTATATTCCGTGTGAAAACAGCAAAGAAATATGTTTTCAAACCAATCTAAAATTTTGCACCAAGCAGAGCTGAGATTCGGCAACTCTACGATCTTTACAAATTGAGCAGTTCTTCAAATAGTCTCCATAATTTATTCTATTTCTTATATTCAGGAAAAGAGGCAGACATTAGATTATTTTACATGCTTTCTGGGACACTAGAAATCCTACTTAGTATCATCTCTGGTGAGAGGGCTCATGATAGAAAGAAAACGAGAGGAGGATGAGATTATTGGAGTGGTGAATATTGGGTCAAGAACTGAAGTTCATGCTATTGCAATGCACCCCTCATCTGAAATGTCAGACAATATTTACCCTTGTCTAAAAGGCACTAAGTATTCTTTAATAACAGGGAAGAAGAAAACAAAATACTCACAGGTGCACCAGGAGGACCAGGGGGACCGCGGGGACCAGATGGACCCTATTCATAGGGAGAGAGAGAAAAAAGAAAATACATTTTTAGATTTACAGATTGAATGGGACTGCCACCATCTTGGCTTGGCTTCAGTGAATATTTATGTACCCTTGGGCTAAGATGACAACTGTACTATATTAGCTTCATTTGACTCCATCTTTTCCCCAGTAGCTATGCAATCTTTCTTTCCTATTATCTAGGTCTGAGAATACCTCTACGTTGCTTTTTAAATTCTCTTTCCTCCATTTCATCTAAATAATCCTTTCATTCCTCTAGGCCCAGCTTCCACACTGGAGGAAATACCTTATTTTGTAGTCACCATGTTAGAGCTGAGTTGGCAACCTCCCAACTGAGCTGCCCTCAAATTTTGCCTAAAGTGCAGCATGAAGCAAAAATACAAAGTTCCTGTCTGAGTAAAACATCTGAGAAATTTTTGACAGACGCTAAAACAATTTTTACGAAGATCAGAGGTTTATCTCTAGAGGTTTGCACATTCCTATGTTCCTGCTTCATTTAAAGCCATGTGAATCGCGGCATTAATTTAAAACAATGGGAACAATCTCAGATCAGCCATAAAACTGAGTTCAGTCCCTCAATCTCAGTTCCATATTCAAACACAGAATACTATTTCTCACATATTTTATAAGGGTTTTGTGAATACCGAGCTAATATTTTTATACTTGAAGTAAAACATATTATGAATTTCATCTTGATTTAGTCAAAGCAGACTCACTGAAATCAATGGGTCTTCCGTTAGTCATGGATCCAATTGATTTTAATGGTTAATTATGACTAAATATTAATCCAGATCCTCATATAAAACATAGGTCGGAAACCTGCAGCCCTTGTGGTTTTGATGGGCTGTGATTCTGATCAATCCTAACTACTGGCTACACTCACTAGCACAGAAAGGAACCAGAATTCAACAGCTGTAGAGCTGTGGGTTCCTTGTTCCTGATATGATAACCACAGATATTATCATTGCCACAGTCCTTAATGCACTAAACCCTCATCCTTGATCCCTTTTCCTCATGTAAAGAAGGGCATTCAATTTTCAATTTTTCTGTCACCCCCCCCCTCCGTAGTAGTTTCTTCTTTAAAAAAAAAAAAAAAATCTCAAGATGAGGTATTTGTGCCTTGAGGGAACCTTTTTTTTCTGCTGTGCCGGCATAGATGCACAGAAACTGGCCTCAGCAGTCAAAAACCTATCCGTATCTTTCTGCTATCTTTGCACGGCTTCATCACTCCATCCTGAGGATCAGGCAGGCCACAAACCCCAAGGGATTCTGGTTCAGACCTCCCAAAGTCTACCTGTTCCCTTCCCAGATCCCCCGCTTTGCTTCTTCCATGCAAAGAAGCAAAATCTCATCCTTCAGCTGATGCTTTCTGCAAATCCATCAACACTTACCATTGGACCAGGAACAGAAAGGCCGCCAACAGATTTTTCATCATAACCGTAAGACAGCTGAGGAGCGAAGTTCTACCGAGGGAGAGAAGAAGAAAGACAGAACGTGTTACCTGGGCTCTGAACAGCACTTTCTCCATAAACAGGTGGAACAGTCAAGATTAGCGCGTAAACCCAACTTACTCCGCCGAGGCCTGGGGGGCCGGGGGGGCCTGGAGGTCCAGGGAGACCAGGTTGTCCAGGGATACCATCTCTTCCAGGTGGGCCTGGAGGTCCCTGAAGGAAAAAGACAATAGGAGGCCGCAATTTAGCACTGTGACAGTATATCTGAATTCCAGAAGAAACCAGCAATGTAGTGCATTCCCCTCCTCCCTCAAAAGTTGAAATGTAAGGACTGAAATGGAGGGAGAAAAATTGGCAGAGGCTCCCTCGCTGGGTAGTTTTAAGAAACAACTGAAAACATGGATGTTTAGGCAGGCCTTCCCCCCTCCCAGTTAATACTTAATTTTTCGTCCCTCTTATTTGTTACATTTAATCTTGTTCCCTTGCCATCTTGGAGAAAAAATTTCTTTTTTTTCTATGTTAATTATGTTATATATATGCTTGTTTTATATGTTATGTTATATGTTATGTTGTAAGCCGCCTAGAGTGTTCGCGATGAACAGATAGGCGGGATATAAATTGAATAAATAAATTAAATAAATAAAGAAAGAAACAATGATCTAAAACCAAACATTTCCCATCTCTGAAATTTGAAGTTCAGTTCCTTGTGAAATTGACATGAATTATACTGAAGTGGACACTTGCTTTTTAAAAGTATTATTTAACATCTGGATTTTTTCTAGGAACAGCCAAGTCAATGGAAATTGTAATGCACTTTTTATAGGAGGGATTGGGAAGAATACAAAAGGATAAACTATGTAAGCAAGGTTTTCTTCTCATCTAGAAATGGGCATTTTAAACATAGCCAATTATTTGATATTTTTTCCTACTGTGTCATACAATATTATGCTATCATGTTTTAACTGCCACGTCTGTTGATTATTTTGGTTGTTACATTTCTTAAATTGAACTACAACAAGCTAAACTATGATCAGTCGAGGCTTAGTTACAGACACCTACCCTCTCTCCTCTTGGGCCTGGTTCTCCTTTAGGACCCTGCCAGGTAAGGAAAAAATCGAGATTAGTGACCCAGAGATCAAAAGCAATGCATTCAACTGAGTGGAGATTAGGATTGCAAAAGACAACTTACCTCTACTCCAGTGGCTTCTGGGTAGGAAGCAGGAGAATCTTGAATAATAAAAAAGGGGGGTTGTTAGGAATGAAAATGAATATCATCTAGATTTTTTTGTTATCCTTAATACTAGTAATTGAATTTATCAGTACCATTATTAAGTCCAGCAAATTGCCTCTGAGTGCTACCTGAGCTATCCTCTCAGGTCAATTAACTTTGTTGGTTGGATCCAGACTTAACCATTCTTAGAGAGCCATTGAAATCAACAGGATGAGTTTATCGTGGCCAAAGTAACCCCCACTGAGTTTCATGAAACTCTTGGAACAATGGCTAAACGTGGGTCCAACCCAATGAATTTTCACAGACCACACTTTTCTTGTTGATGAGAAAAAAGGGCAGCTCTTATTATTGCCCTAATTAGGAGGTGCCATGTGCTCACCTGAGAAACAGTTATAATAGCTGAAATGCCTATATTTCAAAGAAAGGAAATGATCAAGATTCTTGTGGGCGAGGCACAATTTTAGTGTCAGTAAAAGTTGAGATGTCCTTGATGTCACAGCCTCAAGATTCTCTTCGGCTCCTAACTCTCTCCTAAAAACTTTTTCTACTTCACATACTCTCCCAACTTGGCCAACCTATTGCATGTGTGCATGGACAAATGACAGGCAAGGAAAGAGGCAGGGGTTGTGGCCCTTAAACTGTGGCAACTGTTTGCCATTGTTAATTACAATGAAAGCAAATTCTCTCACCACTGGATAAGTGACAGGTTGGTGGCTAGGAGATTGGGTAAGTAGCTTGACAATAGGTGTGAGGAGTTGGAAAAAGAATAAACAGGTCATGGATTTATATGTGGGTGGATAGCTGGATCTAAGATGAGATGATTATGGCCTGGTATATAATCTAAGACAGGAACAGGGGAAAAGTAACTTAATGGACACTTGGGTGCATTAGTGAAACAGAAAAGACTACACAAGACTCAGAACAGATAGGGTACATAGATATATTTGTGGATAGACAGTTTCTCCAGCCAGCTCACAAGAGTATGGCTGAGGAGGAGGAGGGATTTGTGGTTAATGGTGATGGGAGGATTAGGTGAGCACACAGAAGGGGTGTAGGCTAAATTCATACCGGCACCAGGACAGATTGGACAGCATTCTCCAAAGCGTTGCTCAGGGTTGGGGCAGTCTGATACGTCTTCGCAGATCATCTCGTCACAAAGGATGGTACCGCTGTCGCACACGCAGATCTGGCAGGGTTCTGGTTTCCAAACATCTCTGTCATTGTAATTTAAACCGCCCTGTGTGCAGCTTCCAGGTGGAACTAAAGGAAGAGACAAGACAAGTAGCCAGGTGCATGGAGGAAGGAAGAGGCAACCATCTCTTTGAGAGCCAGAAGCATCAGCACAATAAATGAAACCACAAAGGAGTAAATGAGATACTCTTCAGAGGGTGGTTCAGTCCAGAGAACACACTTATTTTTTCATCAAGTTGTATCTGATTGTTGGCCTCCCTTCTTTCTACTCTCCTCTTACACTTTTTTTGTGTGCATGTGTGTGTTTTTAAAACCTCATCTGCTTTTCATCAAGCAAACTCTAGGATACAGGAAACGAGCCAGCCCCCTCCATAACTCCTTGCTGTTGCTCTGGAATTTAAACAAAACTTCTGGCCACTTGTTAACATCCAACTGGTAACCTCAACGTTCTGGAGCCAAAGCCAAACCAAACACAAAGAAAAGAAAGAGAAGGAAATTAACAGCCTTCTGAAAAGTGAGCAAGGAGGAGAGAGGAGGTTAGGCATTCAGACTGGAGGAGGACCCACAGAGGGAAAGCAACTGTATCCTGCTGATGGTACGTGGCCTTAGGAAATCTGAACCACTGCAAACAATTGTGATAAGAAGGCGATGACACAGGTGTGAACTATGACAGGTTGACGAGGCAAGTGTGATGGCCTCCCTTTTAGGCTAAAATCCTGTGCCCGTTTATTTAGAAACCAGCACTCGGTGATCTCATGAATCTTTATTGGAATGTACATACTTAAACGAAGGATGAAAACAGGGAAATGCCAGAGAATGATGTTAAAGAAGAAGAGAGGAATTTCCCCTCCAACACATTCCATTTAAAAGAAAAGAGTGAAAAAGGTGAGTTCTGTCATTATTTCTCATGAGGGCAGGGCTAGATTCTTTTAAAAGTGAGCTCTGAAAATTAGTTTTCCCTCAGAGTCACTGGATGGATAATGGTTTGGCTGAATTGTATTGGGGGGGAAAGGATGAAAAACAAAATCTGCTACTGCTGGAGGAATTCAAAAATTTAAAAAGAGAACAGCTACTCTTGCAGCATGAAGCTCTCACATCGTCCAGGAATGTTGTAAGAAATGCTCATCAGCCACTAGATGGCAGCAAAAGTACCATTACAGGAGGCAAGGAATGATTTCGCCCAGCTCTGTACTGATTTCTCCGCTGCTTTGGGGGCGTGGAGAGGTTGTCCATTAAACATGTTTAATCACTGACCCCGGAAATAGGCTCATCTTTGATCAAGGCCGATCCATTGCAAAGCCATTCCCCTGCAGCCCCACCCCTGGCAAGGCTACATTGAAGTGCCTTCCAGTTGAAGGCAACGGTGAGTCTCTTGACAGCCACTAGATGTCGCCATTGCACTTGCTTGACTAGAACAAGTCATTCTAACTCTACCATCCAAATGGCTTTGTCTATGAAGTGATGTCTAGACTTTTTGTGCTTTATAGGTTGCTGAAACATTTTCCTTATGAATCATCTTAAGGCTCCCTCCCCCCACCCCACCAGCCTAATACTTTCCTGATGGCTTTTGCAGGCTTCTTCAACAAGACAGGAAAATAACTTTCTCCTCCTACCCTTCTTTCTCTCCTTTTCTCCCTCCACCCAGAACTATTCTTTGGCTTTCCAAGAATACAGAATGAGTTTTCCATCATTTATTACTCCCGCCCCAATGACAACCCACTCCCAGTTCTATCCACCCACCCACCCTTTCTTTTACTGAATCTGGCAAGGCAACACAGAGATTCTAACTGATCCAACTTGTTGCTTTGCCCCAAGGAACATATTTAGAAAGGTGGGGGGAGAGGGAGGGAGGGAAAGAGAGAAATCAAAGGAAATACACCCAGGGCTGCACACAGCTTGTTAAGTTTGCTTTTACAATTGATTTCTTTTCTCCCTAGAATGCTCTCATGAAGCCAGGAAATATCTGGTGGAATAAACACTTGATTTTTTCTGCCACTTAAACCTCTTTTTTCTCCTGGCCATCATGCCAAATCCAGACATATCTAGAAGGTCACAAACGTGCTGACCTTTGAAACTTGAAAATAAGGGGGGTGCTCAACACCAAACATTGCATGCACTTTCTTCGCCTTATTTTATTTCTGTCCCTTCTGAGCCGTGATCACATACAACAGGAATGGCAATGACACCGAAGTATTCCTTTACAAAATCATAACATCTTCCCCTCCCCAGCCTTATGGCAAACAGTTTGACCCTTATCCTGTACAGCTGGATTTCAGATATTTCGAAGACGGCATGGCTTTGCATTGAACAGAAAGAGGCAGGAAAAGAAAACCAGGGAGACAGATTTTCTTACCCACTTTCTAAATACAAAATTATACTTTAAATATGGTTCTTTCTCATGTACACAGTGCTGAGAGCAGATAACGCGCTGTACTTACTGTCTTCTTCGCCTTGGCCTTTGGTGAGTAGAACAGTTGCTGCTATCAAAAGCAGTAACCGGGAATCCACAAAGCTGAACATGTCTAAATATTAGACATGAAGACTCTTTGTATCCGGGGTTCTGCTTTAGTGTCCAGTCATGCAGGGACGGTCTGATTTATGTAGTTCCACTCCAGACCCCAGCAGAAACTTCCTACTGACTCTGTCAAGTTCTTAGGCTCCCTTTTTATATGGTCCAGTGTCCCAGAGGTGGATCCTGTCTTCGCTGGCTTCTGAGTGCTGTGGGGGGATCTTGGGCCAGCCCCTTAACCAATCAGGGAAGCCCAGCCTGCCCCCAGACACACACACACACACACACACAGGCAAACGCACACACATATGCACCCACTCCCAAAAAGTTGAGAAGCCAAGCCAAGCCTCTTTCTAACCAATCACAAAAGAAAAGACCCTGGTAGACTCCCTTCCAAAAATGAGTGGATCTTTTAAGTTGGCAGTGCATCCTGCAGGGAGAGGGAAGAATGTAATGGGGTATGCTTTGAATGGGGCAGTTTAAGAAGAAAGGAGGAATAGAAATGGTGAGGGGTAGGAGAAGAAAGATTTTGCAAAAGTGGACTATCGGAAGGTATGCAAGAGGAGAAAATTGTAAGGTGGAATTCCCAGCTTCTCCAGAAACACCTGGTGGAGCACCAGAGGGTGGTATAGAGCAAAGTGTGTTTCTTTCGTTCTTAAAACACAACTAAAGCAAAACTTCTGGGACTATGCAAGCTTTGAGCAAATATCAGATAATCTTTGTTAAATTGCAGTTTGCTTCAATCTTATCCATCTTCTCTCTCCTGTTGGAATAACTGTTATTTAATTTTTTTTAAAAGGAATATGTAGAACTGTTTTAATTAATTAACTGGTGTGCCGTCAAGTCAATTATTCTGACTTATGATGACCCTTTTCAGGGTTTTTTAGGCAGGAGCACTCAGAAGTGGTTTACCATTCCGTTCTTCTCGGAGCATCCTTAGACTGTGAAGCTTACCCATGGCCACACAAGCTGGCTGTTCTGGAATGAGCAGTGGGGATTTGAACCCCCAGCCAGATACCTATCTCACTGAGCTACCCACACAGTTAGCTATGTGTAAGTGTAGGGACTATTAAAGTCTGCTTATGCGTGGATCGGAGGCTATGTTTCTCCCCGCACACTGTAAAAAGGAGGAGAGGAAGATCTTGGAATTACCGGTACCGGAATGAAGAAATCATGCCCTTTGCCTCTGTGTGTGTGTGTGTTGAAATTATAGGGAAAGGGGATATCTCCGCTATTCAGCAATCCTTTGTACAGAGAGTCTCTGATGCATGCACAGAGTTTTCTGACCTTCCTTATTCTCTTTTCCATCTGTACGCATAAGAGCTCCATACATGGGGCTCTAGGACAGAATATCTGTACTTACTACTGCACGAGAAGGAAATCTGTAAAGCTAATGTTGTTTAAACCATCATCTCAAACACATTTTGTTGGAAATTCCATGGAAATTTATGGGATTGACCGGTTGTGTAATGCATCCAATAACTGAATGATGGACTACAATCTCAACATTTCAGCTTATAGTATATTAATTTTAATTGATTTTTAAAATATCACCAGTCAAGACACTTCTGTTTGGTATTGTGGATTTGTGTCTCTAGATAGCATAGCTATAGGTTTCTACGTATAAGAAAGTTATCGGTGTATTTTCATTTCTTTGTGTCGTATGATTTGTCTGTTCTTAAGACTGTCTGTAAGAATGTGCAAGTACAAAGATAGATTGCAAATTTCACATTTAACTATATCAGAAGAAAAAACAATTAAAGGTTTTAAAGTTTCTTAAAACATATGTAATGTAACATATTACTTCCCCCCATATGAATGTCATCCACAAACCATTCCCTCACTTCTATTGTACTGCCACGTATATGAAATACTGAAAAATATTGAACAATTCATAATGTTTTCTCTCTACCCAACATGTACTATCAGAAACTTCATTAAGAATCTCCCCAAATACAGATCTTTAGTGCCAATGAAGGAAAATGACTGCATTAAACCTTGCATCATTTACTGTATATTGTAAATATATGAATGGGCCAAACTCAGATCCAAATGGCAAAGATGCGTTCTGACTCAAACAAAAGCATTCCAAAAGCCTCAGGAAGAAATCCAAAAGCTGTTTTCTTATTAGCCACACTCCTCCTCTATTATGGACCTTAAGGGCATATTCGTAAAAAAATTAAATAAAATGAAATTGGCAAAGTTCCTTGACTGTTCCAGAGCACAGCAGCCACGTTGGTTGGAAAAAGAAGCAGCATCGTGACACCACACAAGATACTGTATAATTTTTAGAAGCTGCAATTACTGGTGCATATAAATGTGTGTGTGTCTTTGTAAACTATACGTTTCAATCTCTGGAGTCTAAAAAAAAAGGCCAAAAGCTTTTAAACAAAGGACATTCTGAGACAAAGCACTTCAGAATAAGGAATGGCATGAGGGCAGGTAAACTCTCCATTAAACAAACAGACAAACCAACAAACCAAGAACTAATGTAACTAGAAATATTATCTTTATATCTGGGAAGAACTGAGGATCAATAGGATTTGGGAAGTAGGTTCCTTCACGGTTTTAAGAATCTAAGTATGTTTCATCAGTGAAAAAGTAAAATTCTGAATTCCTAGCAATCCTGGTCACTTCACAATTATTTGAAAATCCACGAAGTTTGAAGGAGCTTCACTACTTTGTAAGCACCACTGTGGATCTTATCAGGCCACTCTAGCAGAAACATGGCACCTTCCAGAACTGAGGGCATTACAAAGTTGATGAGAATGAAGCTCAGACTGGCAGCCACCTTGAAATGAAGACCGTGATCTTTTGCGAATGAGATCACTTGACTGAATGGTGAAGGTCCACAGTCAGAATATATAATAGAAATTTCTTTGTAGATGATCAACATCATTGACCTAGACTGTTATGTTTTGACCTGAGGTGGATTTGTGGGGCCAGTTTTCCTAGAGAGTGCCCTGTTCTGTTCTTTCTAAAGACAACCACCTCTCCACAGACCCAGCATTAAACAGCAACTTTCAGAGAAGAAATGTGGTAAAGAGCGGGGAAAGGAATGCAAAAGATGTGAGGAGAAGAGAGAAAATGGCTGCTACTGTACATCATCCACTGATGTAATATTTCTGCCTACGATGCATGTGGAAGAAACACTAGACTACTGGAAAAAGAAAGAAAAAAATGGGGAAAGGTGACTGAAAATGTCCTTCATGATGGATGTGGAAATTAAAGGTTCTCAAAAAAATGAAGTCCAAAGATGTACATAATACTTTTTTTAAAATTTTCAGATAATGCATTAGATCAACATATCAGCTCATCCAACATGTAGCAACCTTGGCAGGTGGTTACTTGGAGCATGCCAGCCTAATGCCACTTTCTGAAGAATGGTATGGTATACTGGTTAGAGACTGGGATTTAGGGTATGGAAGCCCATGTTTAAACCCATGCTCAGCCACAAGTCTCCTTCTAACAAAGACACAAGCAACCAGTTGTCAGGATTGCTGAAAGCACACATGGCTCTCAGAGGCCTTTGATGTAGCCCCTGCAAGTGCCCACTGAATCACCAAATTCCTGCTGCTAATTGTTGCTGCCCTTTCCACCAAAGCATTCCTTCACCTCCAAAAAATATGCCCACAACAGTCTCCAAATTTCAGGAATGTTTGAGCTGTCACTAGAAACTACAGATCCAATAAAAATCCACGGAGTGAAGGATTCTGTTTTCCACAGTAAGAATCTGCACATTCCTTGCAATACACTGAGAGGGTTAAGTTTTCATTTGTAAAGATCATATATTTTGTAATATAAGAATGGCCTCACATTAAGCAGGGCCTTCTCAGCTTCTGTACTTTACAGAATATATGGACGAATATACACATTAGGGATGAAACCAAAGTTCCCTCTAAGGTGCATGGCTGCCTGAGTGTGCATGGCTCCGCCCCTTCCATGCAGCTTTCCTCCTCAGTGCACCCACAGTGAGTGTTTCCATCTCCTTTGGTTCTGGCCATGACGGAACCCCACAGGGTGGGGGGGGGGTTGCATGTGGAGGCAGAGCCATGAGATGGAAGGGGTGAAGCCCCACCCAGTGGGGTTGAAAACTGGAGGGAATGTTGGATGTAATAGAATTTTGTTGGATTTAATATGTCAAAGTAAGAAGAGTTTTGTACCTCTTGCAAGAACAATCATACTTCATTTCAAAAATTTGCATGTTTGCAAAGTTTACCTGATATTTTTGGGAGAGAAAGTATGCTCAAAACAATGTGCCTAATTTTAAAAAGAAGGTAATAATAATTATCATCTATGTACAAGTAGGGAAAAAATATCCACAAACACAATTTTAACAATGGGGAACATTTTTTGAGTAAAACAAAATAAATGTGCACATTAGGAAAATGTGCTAAAATCTACACAAATGTCCATGTTCCTCCCATCCCCCCAAAAGGAGCATAAAAAGTCTCACAATTGATGCAAACTGAGTACAAGAAGAAATTACATTTTGAGAAATGCATTTTGAGAAATGCAACCAAATAGTAACTGAGAGATTCTGACAACGCTAATGTATTTATTTGTCACATTTTCCCCTATAGGGGAACCAAGGAGGCTCATTACAATTAAACTTATACAATAATCACAAATTTTAAAATGTCATAACAAACTATACTAAAAAATAAATTAAAAGTTTATCAATAATAAAACCACAATTAAATACAATTTAAATTTTTAAAACATATTTTAAAATAATTACAAATATATATATATATATTTAAAATATTTAAAAATCTCTACATTCCTGAGTCCTCTACTCATTACTTTAAAAGCTTCCTGAAAAGGAAGATCTTTGCCTGCTTAGGATCTTCCCAGAGCAGCGCATTCCAAAGCCTGAGAGTAGCCACAGGTAAGCTCCTCTCTTCTGTCTTCACAAAATGTGCTTGGGAAATTGGTGGGATGCTCTTGGACTACAACTCCCAGAAATCCTGGCCAGCACAGCTAGTGGGGAAGGGTTCTAAGAGTTGTAGTCCAAGAACACATGGGGAGCCAAGGCTGGGAACCACTGATGTAAAGGTTTGCATATCAGTGTATCTGTTAGCTGCCCCTGTGAGAAGATATCACACGCACATGGACTCAGTTCAGGCATTCCTTCAGATT